ATTTGCTGGAAAGGAGAATTTGGAAGATCCCAAAAGCTTTGGCGGCTTTCCGACCAGAGCTTTTTGCCCAGAGCCCTGCCTTGAGGTCACCTTCAGAGACTGCAGCTGAGAGTGCACGCCTGAGAGGTCCATTGCGCTGTGACCGCACTCAAAACTGTAGAGTGTAAGGGTGAAAACCTGCCAAAGGTATGGAAGCTGACGGTTGGGCATGAGGCTGGAGGTCTGGAGGTTGAAAAGGGCAGAAGAGGACTTTGGCGACGCATGTAAAGACTCTAGCTGGCTATTTTTTCAGGGCCCGGATGGCAGAAGTGACGACGGATTGCCGGTTTTGGGCCGATACTGACTGGAAACGCTGGAAACCGGCAGTCTTGTCACTGTTCAGTGAATTTACCGGCACCGTCCACGCGGCGTCCGCTACGGGTCGGTACCGCGCGGGAACCCTGGCGGTACCTGTCCACGCCGAGTGTCCACGGAGGACGGTACCCGTCCGCGCGACCAAAGACTCCGTCTTTTCCTTCCTCAGCGCCACGTGTCGACTTTTTAACTGCGTAGGAGCCGAGTGGTGACCTTTTGGTGATTCTGTGGCTTGCGTGGCGCTTTCAGGTTTGCAAGAGACTCTCGACTTTCATAAAAGTGCGCGTACACGTCAGTCTCATATTAATCAGAATTAAACTGGCCCCATGTATCAAACGTATAACCGGGGCCCGGGGCCCGGGGCCGGCACGAGCCCAATGCCCGAGGGGCCAACTTGAAGGGCCACACTTCATCCCGACGATGTAGTGAACAGCAACAGCCGGTGAACAGTAACGGAGACGGTAGGGTTAGTAGGGGGTTAGGGTGGGTACGGGTGCGGAGCGGGTGATCTATTTGGTTAGGGTTTCTAGTAACCCCAAAATGCTTACTGTTCACTGAGCTTGCTGTTCACTAGATCGAGAAATACCCAAACTTCGAATCTCCGTATCTTGGGATATTGTGTTCAATGTACGCGTGACGGTACCTACCTACATGATATTTAAGGATCTGAAAAGGCTCGGAGCTCGGTTGGCCACGTCAACAATGCATGCAACAAACCCACAGGGCCGGGCGCCGGCACGAGCTCAGATATCAGCTCTGCAACCTACGGTTGGGTCCGGCAGGAATTGGTATTCCGGTATGTACCGTATACTAGTACTGGCACAATTCAGCGACTTCCCGGGATCATTTACAAATTGCAACGTTGCTTCTCGGATCTCCCGACGACCGCCATAGGTAGCTATCGGGGGGGGATACAGTACCTATCATATTCAAATGGACCGGCCAGATGAAGCCGTGGCGCGTGGCCGGTCAAGTTGCCGTGCAAGCCGGCCGGTTGATCATCGGGATGCCGGTAGCTCTCGTGTGACCTAACGCGATCGGGCGTGAACTATTAGACACAAGTTTACCGGGCGCTCAAAACCTGAAACCCAACCCAAATAATCACCCGCTCCGCACCCCAACCCACACTTTTAACCACCATACCAACCCTACCCGTCCCCTGGTAGACCCTACAAGAGCACGACCTTCAAATTTGACTCGGACGGTCGCGTGGAAAAATCACTCTATAAATTTTGGTCGCACCGCAGACTGGCGACACTTAGCAGAATCTCGGAAGATTGTCGGAAATCCAGCCTGCATTTCAGCCCTGTAAGAAATTGTCGATTCCCCGGGCAAGCAATGTGGACCACAGCAGGAGTGTTTCTGGCGTCCAGCCTGCCCGGTTTATCGGCTGTGCTTGCGATCCACCGGGGGCAAAAATAGGCGCCTCAACTGCCCGGTCAACTTGTAAGCCTAAGGTATGAACCGGGCAGTTGGGACGCTAGGAACAGCCCTTGTATAGTCTTGTTGCTTACCCGGGGAATCGGCGATTGCTTACAGGGCTGAAATACAGACTGGATTTCGCGACAACCTAAGCAGATTCTGCCAAGTGTCGTCAGTCTGCGGTGCGACGCAAATTTAGTAGAGTGAAGTTTCGCGACCGCGGGGTTCGCGTCCGAGTCAATTTTGAAGGTCGTGCTCTTGTAGGGTCTACCCCGTCCCCTGGGTGCCTATCTTAGGTCACACGAACGTACCCGCGGTATTATCGGGAGATCCGGCCGGTACTAATACATAGGTATCGTATCCTGCTGCCACGTACGAGCACGTACAGTAGGTACAGTAAGTACCTTCCTACATTCGTACCCAACCTCATTTGCGATCTGGGATTCGGGAAGTTTCGGAGGCAGCACCAGGACCCTGGACCAATGCCTGAGTGCGGACAGGCTGGCCCCCTTCCAGAGGCGATCCGATCGACCACCTCTAGAGTCTACAGCTCAGGTCCTCTGGCCCCACCAGACTATCATGGACCCATCGTTCCAGTGGGGCGTACGGTACGTTGGTACGGAGGCGACGTGTACCACAGCTAAGCAACCGCATCAGTTTTGCTGCATGGACAGGGCAGCTGGCACGACGAGAGGCTTGCGACTTGCGATCCTGCTCAAGGACCAACTTCACACCGTCGACATGCAAGCTGCCAGAAGCTTGTTCTGTCAAAGCACTGCGGCAGGGACGACGCTGCATTGCTCGCAAGCTACCTAGATTGCCTGTTGATCAGGGCCTTCTGAAGTCCCTTGGAAACTACCATCACTTTCTCTCGCATTGGCTCTCCCTGCATTTTGGTCGTTTAACAGAAGCTGGGCACCATTGGACGGATCGGGCAGTGGTAAAGGCAAGAGGAAACTTTAGAGACTCTTTGATAGTGAGAGTAGTCATAGTTTTACTTATTGTCATCTGCAAATCTTGTTAGATCACACTTTTTTGCTTAAAAGCAATGCCAGGGGCCAATTTGCAAATGAATGGAGCATTGTCAGTGGAGAGAGCGGGTCCTGCTTGGCTGACTGGGGCGCTGGATGCTCCCTTCTTTACGCCCTGCCCGGAGCACTCCACTGGGGGCTTTTCCCACAAGACAGACAGGAATTTCTACTGCTTGGACTGCCATGAGGATGCGCTATGCACATTCTGCGTGGATTCCTCCCACAGAGGCCATGACATCCTGCAGATCAGGCGTGCCAGCCACAACAATGCGGTCAGGGTGAATGAGATCCACCAGGTCAACACAGAGGGTGTACAGCAGTACACAATCAATGGCAGCAAGGTAATCTTTGCAACAACCTCACACTTTGCAAAGGTACACAAAGTCATGTTCTGGCTGAGGCACTTGGATTTATGTTGTGGCCTTCTGCAGGGTAGGGACAAAGGGGCTTTTTGGGTACAAAGGTGCATTTTAGTCATTGACGGTCAGAAGTCTTGCTCATCGCGGTTGCTATGCTCCTGGTCTTCTCCATTGTTATGGATTGGACAGAAACTTGGTGTTTTCCCATTGCCACTTCTCTCCTCTGACAGTCATGCCCCTGATGCAGATTCTCTTCCTCAAGGGGAGAAGGCCTCCGCAGCCGTGGAGAGGCGGTTATCACTTCTGTAAGTTGCCCGCACTGATGGGCTTTGCAGTACCTAGCGCGCTGACCACCATCAGCAAAGCTGCGTGCGATTTGTTTCATAATACACTGCTTCTGTTGATTGCATGTTGAAGGATGTTGCTGTAACCTCGACAGAAAATGAGCACTGATAAAGGAGATTTGAGATTGCGGATGTGTTAAGAACACACATCTGAGTATTGAGTTTAGACAAAAGAAGAGAGAGGCTCTCAAGATCTGAAGGCCTACCAAAGATGCTGATTGTACCTGGCTTGATCAAGAATGACCGTTTGTCCTTTGGATGGCCACTCAAGAGGATCATGTGATATCTAATTGCGGAGATTATCTCCTTGATGTATATGCTTTATCAATCTGAAATTTTGTCAGAAACGAATGTCACTTCGTTTGTATGTGCAGGTGAGATGTGTGGGCGCAGCCTGCTCGACGCCATGCGCTTCTGCTCCTTGGCATGCAAGGTGGCTGCTGTCCAGGATTCTGCGGATCCCCACCTCAGCATGCAGCCTGGCATTAGCAGCAAGGGCCCCACGGAGGTGCGCCACAGCGCGTCCAAGCGTGATCACAAGAAGCTGAAGCGGGAGGAGCGGTTGAAGCATTCCAAGCGACAGTTCCAGCTGCAGAGGGAAGCTGCTGCGGCGGCGTCTAAGCAGGAGGCCTCATGGAAGTCGTGGAGGGAGGCAGTGGTGGGGGACGGGGAGGAGAGGCTGCGGGACATGATCAGGGAGGTGTTGGACGCTGTGGGCTACAATGAGCGGGGACCTGGGAAGAGGGCAGCCGATGAGGAGGTGGATGTGAGGGCTGTTCCGAAGAAGCGCAAGCGGTCACATTTGGGCCAGACCCTGCAGGAGGAGGGGCAGAGAGTGTGGGAGGGGGCAGAGAAGAGGGAGCAGAGTGCCAGCTCCTCTGTTGGGAAGGAGCATGCGGGCAAGGCTGGGGAGGAGCATGGCAGCAGCACAAGGTTTGGACTGCCTTCCTCCTCAGGCCACAGCGACACGCGGTCTGATGAGGAGGCAACTAGTGTGAAACAAGGAGGGGAGTGGGAATCTGGCAGAGATGAGGGGGAGTCGGCACCATCGGGTAGTGGCACACATATGGCAGATTCTGGCCTGGCGCTGTCAGGCAGTGGCATGCATGAGGCAGAGGAAGTGTCACGAAAGCCAGAGAAGCCCAACGGTTTTGGATTCAAGAAGTTCCAGTCCCATGCGGAGGGGGGGAACTCATCTGACAATGAGCATTCATGCTTGTCGGAGCCTCATTCGCCCGTCTCCGTGTTGAGGCAGAGGTCAGGAAACTTCGGGCAGAGGATCGCAGCGCTTCCCCCAGCTGTTGCATTCTAGAAAGTCAATTATCGCAATACGGAGTCAGTCATGGGAATTAGTTGATCCCTCAGAAAAGTATTAGGAATCATTTGATTTGACTTACTATTGTAAAGCCAATAGCATGAATAGGATACAGCTAGCTTTTCTAGTCAGGTTGATTACTCGCCTCTCCTTAGGCATGTCAAAAGAGAACTTTTGATCCTGTCAAAGGTCTTTGTATATAGAAGTTATATAGAAGTTATTTAAACGCAGTAGCATTCACCACAGAGGCAGATATAGCGCAACCGAAAATTGAACCGGAAACATTGTCGAGTGCACACCTACCTGGCAAGCGATTGGGTAGAATTGATTGAAATGGATTGATAGGAATAATCGTCAAAACTTTTGCCGTCTTATTTGGAATCATAAGTTTGAAAACATTTTCCTTAAGATGTCATGTGCAATACTTTTGATTTTGAATTTTTTTGTCAATCTTGAATACAGTTAATCTTGAATACAGTTGAGTCAAACTCTTCCACTTAATTTAATATCGACAAATTGAAAGTAGTAAGAAACGCAGTATGTCTATCGCGCATAATAAACTTACGATACAGGTACTGCGTTTGTTATAAAATTTCCTACAATTTTCGACTATTTTCTTTCACACAGCTCATGAAATAAATTGCAATCAAAGATGTCATGACATAGTAATTGACCTACAAAATATTTGTACATGCAAAACAAACAGGTGCAGCAATTCAGTGTAATTCTATAAACGGCCCAGGATGGGAATTTTCTCATCCGACATGCATGCATGATTTCGACCCGGCATCCGACACAATAATCTCGGCTCAAAGCTTTTTTATGCAACGAAATTCGTAATTTCGATAGATTTTAGCCATGAGTTTGCCATGATTTTAGCCATGCAGCTAGTTCTCAACAAGATGTAACGTTGACATTTTAGCCTAGTAGCCAACGCATGTCGCGGACCAAAGCCTGCATTTCTCGCAATCAATCAATCAATTAATCACTTACAATGGTACATGCATGTTCGGAAGTCGAAGTTGCTAGCAAACATGAACCGAACTAACTAGCCTAGTAGACGAGGAAAATAAGGTTGACAACTTGATCAAATCCAAAAGAGAATCAACATAAGGTAACAATTGTCGTCGGGCATACAAACTTGAAATTAAGGGTGTCGGAAATTGGAACGCCCAGGACGCAATAAGCCGATTAACTTTGTGAGAGGCGTGGGACATTGGCCTAGCGGCCAAAGTCCTCCGCTACTTAAAAAATGAATATTGTTATTACAACTTCCCTGTATATTGAATGTACATAGCACTGCTACATATCCATGGGTATGTATGTCCGTAACAGTCCAAGCTAGGTACCTCACGCCTGGCGTCTTCCAGAATGCTGGCGATCATGGTAGACCGTTGGATCGCCTCCTCGCGGCGCCCAGCGCACGATGATACTGCTCGCGTACAATACCTTGCGCTATATTGGTCGTCGGTCGAAATTTGATGCTAGCGCGTATTTCGCCGGACGTCAGACGGTACTTCCCCGTCAGTCAGATCTAACGTCGAAAGACTTTCGACCATCCAGATTAGAGTTTATACTCTCTTGAACTCTCGAACCGTGAAAGTTGAAAGTAAGAACTTCATCGACGACTCCTCGAGCTTTGAAAACGCGGGCGGGTGCAGTAACAATTTCCTTAACTAAGACTCACAGCCCACTCAAAGTCGAAGTCGTTATGAGACTCAGTGCCACGGCATCTCATGAAAACGTCACTTTTCGCTCCCGATCCTCGCTGTAGTGGTACGCCTCTTGAACTAGCCGGAATGATCGAGCAAACGTGGATAGACCCACGTGGCACGACTATAAGACTATCGGAGTGACTACACGCGCCGATCAATAGTGAGCCGATGAATGACTGTTGTTTAGGGAGACCGCTGCTGACGGTAGACCGACTGGGGATAGGCTGACGACAGGGTGAAGCAACAAACCGTCGAGCTCGTTCAGAAGACGCCTTGAATCTAATCTGGATCTCATTGCCGACTCTCAAAGATGCTGCACGTCGAGCATATGAGCCCGATGCATACTTTTGTGGAGGCGCCCATCAAAACCGCGTTCTTAACGGGTGCAGTAATGAGAATGTCGCTAGGCGAATGAACAGCGTACTTAGTAGCCGCTTCGCAACCCGTGCAACATTAGCCCCATCACTGGCTTGCGGCGACCGTTTCTGCAACGGTTCCGATGCAGAGCCTGAAGGTTCAAGTGGCCGCCACCATCATATTCCATCCATCAGTAAGCCTTGCCCGCGGAGCCCCGGTAAGGCCGCTGCCGTGCCGCTGCCACCGCCAAGCCTTGATGATCCAGCACCCCCTCTTAGCTCTGTGTTCGGCCCTAGTAGCTCTCTCCGACTCAATAAAGATGTCTTTCAATCTACTACCTCTGATTGACACGCCTCGCATTGAACATTGCCGGGCGGTCTCCAAGGATCAAGACGAGCGAATTCCGACTCGGTTTGCCGTCGTGCTACGCGAGCGTGCGGTCTTGCAAGTGAATGGCATAGAATATTCTCATCCCGCTAGAATCAAGTTCGTAGGAACTTTTCTTGATCTTCGTACGTCGATTGATCCCTACGTGCGGCAATTCGGCTATAGATAAGATGTTCCGGCAAGATTATCATCCATCTTGGATCATGATAGGTATGTACGTACTTGATGCGTGATTGTGCATGTGCATGTAGTATGCCGACACCCAAATATATACAGTACGTATATTTTTGGGATGTCTAGTATCTAAGTTAATCGAAGCCCGACGAGACTCCTCTATATCATAGTATGCAAGCTAGGGACGAATTGCGGCGGGCCATTCCCGATCGCGCAGCACAAGTACGGTTCGACCAAGGTTGCAACTTGCAAGACGCTCAGTGGCAAAGCCCCTGAGACACAATCAGGCCGCCGGTGCACCAAACAATATCCATGATTCGATGGCACGTGACCCATTCAACAGTCACTAGTTCTGGGCCTTGGCTGGCACAAGATCGTAAATCATTGTAATCAAACATGCTGCTGCATGGCAGAGAAAGACGTAACCGCTGAGGTCATCAAAACAAGATAGCTCTGTTAATCTTTCAAATTGCAGCACCGTGTGTGGAAATTGAGCTGCATAAGTGGAGCCACTGCTCAGAGAACGCCACAGCTTGAAAGTAGTAGTTCGCCCAGTGGTCACAGTGGGGATGCTGTCACGAGAGCAGGCTGAAGACCACAACTTGCAATCATATTTGAAACTCCTGCTCCTGGAGAGGCCCAATCTGCGTACCTTGGACATTGGACCAGCGCGGCTGGCTGGCCCGGTCTCTACGGCTAACCAGGAATCAGTCTGTCAAGCCTCTGCGTCAGTCTCCGTATCAAACCGTTCCGTTGGCACCCCCTCAGCCTCAGCTTGTGCTTGCTCCCGCAGAAGTCCCCGGATCTGGAGGTACGGGTTCTCGAGCAGCTTCTCGTTGTTGCTCTGCCAAAGACACGGGGGCCGCATCAGCAGCACACGGGCACAATCAGCACAGACACAGTAGCCGCCAAGGGCACGAAGGAGACGACTCTTTGCCGCCCACGACCGAGCGCCCACCCCGGGCGACTTCTGCAGCGGTCAGTCAGCACCCGGCATATATCAAGCAGGCAGAGCCAGGTCCAGACGCCAGCCGGCGGGCTGACCTGCTGGGCGTGGAAGACGAGGCGCTGCAGTGCGGTGCGGTACCCGTCGGGCTGCTGGCGGGCCATGCGGCGCAGCAGGAACGTGCTGACGTAGAGCGCCAGCCGCGGGTCGGGGTCGTCCAGGACCGCCTCGAAGAAGGCCCCGCCCACCGCCTGGAACGCCGCCACGCTCTCCTCGCACCTGACAGCGGGGTAGCAGAGCGAGCAGACACGTGGGAGAGGAGCAGGAGAACGCCCTCATACACTCCCCACAATATGCATGCAGGCAGCGTGCTCGTGTCCACGGTACTAGAGGCGGCAACGAGTCGGGTGAGAGCCCTTCCCCGCCTCCTAATTTTGCAAGAATGACCGTCAAGCGATCTCGGCCGTCTCCTCCAACGAATCCACAGGTTGCATTTTTGCGCCGCGTGGCCTCACCTGCTGATGAGCAGCAGCAGCATGGCAGCCCTGACGTCGCTGAGGCTGCTCCCCGGGCCGCTGCCGCCCCGGCTGCCGACAGCGGCGGTGAGCGCGATCCCTTCGACGGGGGTGGCCGGCAGGCGCAGGAGGGGCCACTGCAGGAGGGCGACAGGCAGGCGCGCGAGGAGGCGGGGCGACGCCAGCAGGCGGCCAGCCAAGAGGAGGGCGGGAAGGGGACCCTCCAGAGGGGAGTCGCGGGGAAGTGGGAGGGGCCTGCGCGCGCACAACTGGCGGAACAGGAGGTGGCACATCTGCGGATGGACAGGGAGCAGGTTGGCTCGAGTTGTTGTCGGATGTTCAGCTCTGATGGAGGAATCAAGGACAGGCAGTGGGGCAGTGCAATCCAGAGACTCTGTCAGGGCAGACCGCATCATGGGACAAGGAGAGCCCCACACGGGGCCCCCCCGCTTGGCCATTGCTTGCTGGGCAGCGCGTACCCGCAGCACGGTGGGCGTGTCTGCGCTGTTGGCCTCCACCACCAGCTGGCACGCCGCACTCAGCAGGGCCACGGCCCCCTCCGCCGCCTGCTCGGGGTTCGCCGCAGCGCCGTCCGTCTCGGCCGCCAGCAGCGCGCGGTCCACCACCTCGAAGAACACCGCCTGCACCTCGCGCTCGGGGCACTGCAGCAGCTCGCCCAGCAGCTGCACCCCCGCCCACGCCTCCTCTTCGGCGCCGCTCTCTGGCCCGGGGCTCGCCTGCCCGCCAGGGTCGCCGGACGAGGAGGGGCGATGCTGCCGCTGGCGCCGCTCCAGGCTCGCCCGCAGCGTGGCGCTCAGGCGTTCCGCGGGAGACCCCTTTAGTGGTCGCAGGCCGGCCGCCTCTCGTGTGCCTGCTCCCCCACTTAGGAGCTCCGTCAGCCAGCAGCGGCCGTGGATGCGGTCGGATTCGCGGGGCGAGAGTAGGAGCGCGCGCAGGGTAGCCCACGCCGTGGCCAGCGCCTCAGGGTCGCTGCTGGGAGCGCTGCCCTGGCTAAGCCGTCTCCAGGGGGGCGCCAGCGGCTGGCCCGCGGCCTCGGAAGCGACGCTCGCGCCCAGGGACGAGCGGGAGGGGGAGGAGCGAGCGGAGCCGGAAGGTGCGAGGAGAGGGTCCGATGCGGCGGTGATGGCCAGCTGGGGGGCGAAGGCCGCGGACGGGCGGGCACTGCTCAGCGCGAGGTCGTCCAAAGTGGAGGTGACCGCAGCGAGGAGCTGCAGGAGAAAGGGGGGGCGCAGAGAGGGAGGAGTAAGAAGGGGACCGACCTTCGCGGGACGAGCGGACAAAACAGGCTGGACGGGGGGACGACACGATATTCGTAGGAAAGAAAGGCGGACGTTCGAGCGCCCCTCAGAAGTTTGTCCAACTTTTAACAAAGCGGCTACTATGTCGCCAATGTAACAACACCCACGAGTTGCTTTGTCGTCGTTACTAGCAAGAAGCACAGCAAACTCCTCATGCTTCCCCACGTCCTGCCTCACCTCTGAGTTGAGCCGGCCGGAGGTGACGTCCCGCTGCATGGCGGCCATGATGGCCTGCCGCACTGCGTCGGCCGTCCCTGGCAGGCCCAGCTTGAAGCCCAGCACCACCGCCTCCGGCGCGTCGGCCAGGCCCAGCGCGGCGGCCACTGCGCACACCTCCTCTTCGCCCGGCGGAGCGCGCCGCTCGTCTGCACACTGCTGGCTGTACCGCAGCACCGCCAAGTCGAACAGCACCGCAAACATGTTCCGGCGCACCTCCCTGGAGCGCCCTTCCGCGTACTCGTGGCACACCCACGCGACTCCGCCCAGTGCCTCCAGCCGCTTTACGTCCAGCGTGGGCGCGCGCCGCCCCTCCGCAGTGACCCCGTTCAGGCCGCCCTCCGAGCGCTTCCCGCCCGTGCCCTTCCCCCCGTCGTACAGCAGGTTGACAGCCAGGCGCACCAGGGCGGTGTGCACGCCATCGGCCCAGCAGTGGCGCCGGCTCATGGCCAGCAGGGCCGCCGGGATCCGCACATCGAGGCCGTCCACCTTGGGGCGACAAATGTGGCCCTGATCCGCGGCATAGTACAGCAGGCAGCTCAGGCCCGCCACCCACACCGCCTCCTCCCGCTCCCCCGCCTGCACCAGCGCCAGCAGCATCTCGCGCACCAGCGCCACCGCCCACTCCTCAAACTGCGCCACCGCAGCGCGGCCCCCTGCGCCGTTCGCCTGCCCGGGCCTGGCGGGAGAACTGGCATCGTGCGGCGGCGGTGGGGCGTCGTCCGGGTGCATGGCAGCCGGGTCGATGAGGTGCGCGTGTACCCCCAGGTTGAGCACCAGGTCGAACGCGCGGCAGCGCACCGCGGGCGCTGCAGCAGCCAGCATCTCCAGCAGGAGGCGCAGCGTGAGCGGCCCCGCCAGGCTGGGCCCCGCGCAGTACAGGTCCAGCAGCAGCTTGATCAGCACGCTGCCCGCCACATCCGCCGGGGACCCTACGCCAGGGTCGGGCGGCGCAGGGCCCTTCCCCTGGGGCGCAGAGTCCGCACACACGGCGGCCAGCACGTCCGCCATCTCAGCATCGCTCAGCCGGAGGGCCTGCTGCTCTGCGTATGGCCGGTAGTGGAACAAGGGGCGCGTGCGACGCTTGGCCGGAGTGCCTTTCAGCAGCTCGACGCTGCTCCTCGGCCCCATCTCGGGCCGCCGCTTGGCGGCCGCAATGGTGCGGATGTGTGACTGCAGCAGCGCAGCGTCCGCAGCGGGCAAGGCGGCAGAGGTCTGCCTGCGGGTGTCGGGGTCGAGGGGGGAGGCCTGATTCAAAGCAGGGACGTCGGACGCCAGCTGAGCTTTGGGGCCAGCGCGAACCTCGCTGCTCACGCTCTGGGGAAGGGGCGTGGATTGGAGGAGCAGGGCAGCCGCACCCGAGTCAGTCAGGGTGCGCACGGGACGGGGTATGGGGCGGGACAGGCCCCCACTGCAGGGAGAACAGGGAGGGGCATGAGAGGCCGTCGAAAGACATTGATGCAGCTGGTCTGGCGACGGGCCGTTCTTACAGTCACGCTGCAGAACTCGGGCCATGAGGGGCTTGCCACGGAGTAGGCTGCAAACAGTTCAGGGAATGCCAGGACTTGTCGCACTCCCTCAGAAGCTGCACAAGTGTCTCCGCAAGCATAGCGGCATCTCCCTCATGCCTCCGCCTCCCGCGCTCACCTCCCCAGCAGCACCGGCGACGGCGCCCACGCGGGCTGCTTCTTCCCGCCCTTCGCGCTGGGCCGCAGGATCCACCGCCAGCTGAACACGTCCTCCTCCAGGAAGTCCCTCGCCTCCTGCGCCCCAACCTTCTTGTGTTCGGGCCCCACGGGCACCGCCTCATGCCGTGCTGCCTCGGAAACCTTTGCCCTGCCCTTGCCACGCGACTCGCCCGCCACCTCCCCGCCACGCGGCAGCCTCTGGGTACTGCTGATGGGCCCCACTTGCCGCGCCACAAACGCCCTCAAAAACGCCAGTGACCGGACCACCGCTGCAGAGTCCTTGCAGAAGCCACCGAGGGGGCTAACCGCCACCTCTGACCTGGGGCCCAGGAGGGGGCCCAGCCCCGAGAGCGTGTGCCTGGCCGCTGCAGCCTCATTCAGTTCTGCCATGAGCTGCGCACAGAAGGCGTCGATGGCCTCCAGCGTGCCCGCACTGGGCAGGTAGCGGAAAAGGATGCGCTTGAGGAGGCGGATGGTGGCCAGGACCACGCCCGGGCTGCGCGCCACCTCGGTGCGCGCATGCTCCAGCAGCAAATCGTACGCCAGGTCGCACGTGGCGGCCTGGCTCAGGTACTCCTGCAGCACGCGGTCCGCCGCCACGCCCCGGCTCCCCGCACCGGACGTGCACTCCGCAATGGCGCGCCGCAGGGGCTCTGGTCCTTTCGGGGGGCTGCCCTTGGAGCCAGCGCTCAACAGCAGGGGCTGCCGTACCTTCTTGGGCCCCTCCGCCAGCTCGGCAGCTGGAGCCTTGCTCTTGGTGGGGGGGCGCTCGGCATCGCCCGGCACCCCTCCCTTGCGGGAGCCTGGTGGGAGGTGAGGGGAGGCCTGCAGTGGGGAAACCTGCGACTGGCGCGAACGCCGCACAGAATGGCCGGGGGGAGAGACGGGAGGGGAGACAGTCAGCTCCGGCTTGGCCAATCCCTCCTGCTTGGGCCCCGATGGGGGCTTCATGGGAACACCCTTGTGCAGACCCTCAGAGGGCCGCCTGCAATGCTGTCTATGCTGAGTCCATAGTTTGCATTTCTGACAGACAGGATTGGATCTGACACAGGGACGGCCGACTCCAGGCTATGGTGCTCTTTGGAAAAAGACGATACTCAGCACCGCGCTGCGCTATCAATCACAACTGCTAGGCAGGACTTTTGACGTCAAGCAGAATACGCAACGCTTGCGAGGGATGAAAACTGGCCCAGGGATGGCCACCTACTGACGACCATGTTGCATGTTGAAGTGCCCCCATACTGCTGACAGTGACGCAAGTACGACGAAGCATTCTCCTTTTGTTAGTGTCTCAGGCTTCAAATAGTGTGAAAACGTTTCACACGCGGGATCATTGGCTCTCAAGGTATCCGCGTGGAACCACAATGTCAGATCAGGTCCTTCGATTAAAACTTTGTCAGAGTTGTCAGCTTTTACCGTACAGTATGCGGTACGGACTCGGTACAGATGGGGACCGGGTCAGAGAAAGTGTCTACATACACTAAACCAAAAGGACTCTGCCCGGTTGTCACTGACAGTGACGAACCCTAATGTCACTGTGCGCCAAAGAAGCCGAGAGTGCTCGGCTCGGCCGTTGGATCTACGACCACTTCCGGACTTCGTACCTGCATCAACTTCCAGTTGGGATCATGCTCGTTCAGGCGGGGTTCAAGGACGATCGCAAGGGGTACTTCCTGCCACGTGGTCGGGTGCTCGGGTGCTCCCCTCACAGGATGAGTACCCAGGGCTTGCGAACCAGATCTTTCCATGGGCCGACGAGGAGCTGCGGAAGGTGAAGCAGAAGGTGAAGCAGGTATGTTCATCGTTACTGCTGGAAAGGTTGTCTAGGGGCTTTCCAGCATCTTCGGCTCTAAGAGAACTAAATGATCTGGCTGCAAGCACGCTGCTTGCGCTGCTTCTCGTCGTTGCTTCCATCAAAACTTTTTGACGACTATGCTGCACATTTTGATCTTCCTTTGTGCAGAGAATGACGTAACCCTAACAAAACGCTAGTCGATTGCCGCGAACCGTCACAGGTTTGCAACATGACCCTAATGTCACAGTGAAGCCCCGGTCACTGTCAATGTCACTGTCGGCGTCACTGTCGGCGTCACTGTCAGCGTCACTGTCACTGTCCTAACCACAGCCCGTAACCACTGTCAGAGTCGCGACTTTGATGACTTCAGGTGTTTGCGTGTGATTTACACCTATTTGGCGGGGCAGAGACACTAACAAAAGGAGAATGCTTTGATAGTTTTGCGACAGTGACAGTAACAGCTACCGTAGTGCTGTCTTCCAAGTTCAGAGCTGCACACATTCATAGCCCTGATTTCTTCACATGTGCTTTCACCGCCGCGCCGTTTAGACCTGAATTTGTACCACCAGCTTTTACAATCTGTTCAGTATGCAAGTCAAGAACGCAATCATATGCGACTCCCGGCCACACACCTGCTGCCAAATTTTGGTATGAATTGCGACGGCTCCCGGGCAAGTCATTTCGGTAGATTTTGTATCGGAAAGCCGCAATATGCTGCAATTGGGGCCGAATCAGCGAGGATGATCCCTGCAACGACGCACATGATATGTATCTTGTAAGTTTTAAAATTACGGTATGTCAGATCGAGGTTGCAAGAGGAGCTGGAGCACGAGGCTGAAGGGGCCAGGGCGGAGCCTATGTTCTCTTTGGGATTTTGAGCCAGTTGAGCTCCTGATGCGCAGGCTGCGGTGGTGATCACGTAGGTCGGCATGAAGGGCTTGTCTGCTGGCCCGGGGCAGCGCGGCAAGCGGGCCACCGCAGGTGGTGGGGGGCCTGACTTCAACAAGTTCCTGAAGCTTACGCAGGAGCACCAGGCCAGGGAAAGGAGCAGCAGCGGGACACAACAAGAAGCAAGGGGCACCTCCTTGCACGACCTGCACGAGCAAGGAGGTGTTCCGTTTGACGGCACCAGCTCAAGCAACATAGGTAGCGCCCGTCAGAGTGGTGGCGCCACACAGCCTGAGAAACAAGGCAGGGGTTTTGAAGCAACCCCAGATGTATCATCAACCCACTCTCAGAACGACGCAGCAGCATGCTGCGATGCGGGAGCAAGTGCCCCGCAGCCAGGGGCCATGCTCGGCGGTCATGGGGAGGACGGCTCCACAGAGCTTCAGGAGCAACCGAGCGATGTGTTAGCAGCGATTCAATTGCTTCATAGTCAATTTCCAAAAGTTCGAAAAGTAAGCTACTTCTTGACAAACTTCATGACAGATGCTCTGAACCGCTGCTGGAACCAGTGCTGAAGTGACTCAGGACTTGTTGACCTGTATGCGATGTTTCCAATTGCGTGAGCATGTGCGTGTGCAGTGACACTCGGTGCTGCGATACCTGCCCTCCTTAATCTGGACAACCATTTCCTGTAGAGAGAGCGGCATGGGAAGAGTTGCCCCCTGCCCCTGGCGGCCGCTGTCTTTTCAGTGCCCTAACCCCTTTCCCTTTGGGCGCTGCAGAAAGTCGATGTCTTGCCGGTCATCCTCAGGACGCAGGTCTACAGCATTGTGAAGAACAGGACCGATGTGGACAGGGAGGCCGAGGTAGGGAGGAGGGAACGACAGCAGTGCCACAGTTTAGGAGTGATCCGCAGTCTTTGTTGTCAACAGCTTACCGCATCTCATGCTGTCCCTTCCATGCTACCGCTCAGGAGTCGTCGTCTTGGCGCCTGCTGGGTTTCTCAACTGTAAGTGGGCTTTTCGAACGAGATTGTAGACCAATATCCTTGACCTTAAAAAAGAACGAGGGGACATGTTCTTTAAAGTCTTCTCATGGAACTCCTTGTACTTGCCTACGCTTGGAGTGGGGGGTTCGTCTACTGGTCAACAATTGGTGCCAGGGAGCCCCTGCTTAGCCTGCCTATCCTCTTCTCAGGTGCTCAAGCATCGGCGACGGATCCGCCTGTTCAAGCTGGTCACTTCCGGGGACGACTATGCCATCATGCTGTGGGATGACTACACTGCGCAAGTCAGTACTCCGGGCACAGCACGTCCTGGACATGATATTTCTTGGATGAGCTTGTCTTTCTCGAATCACACCTGCTCACTGGCAGCGTTACTCGGGTCCCTTGCTCATGACTGGCCGAATCGCTTGCACTTGTATCTAGACTCGTGGTTTCTTGCCGAATTGGCAGTAGGACACAAAGCGTTCAGGAGGGACATCAAAAGTGTCCAGCTGATTACATCTATGATGATCGTTTTGACCGCTGTGACTGCCTCTCCTGCCCCAGCGAGGCCGCAATTTTGAGCCCTTCTTCCGCTGCAAGGGGCACCTACATGCAGCCCTTATGCCGGCTCTTGTCCTGACACTGGGCCCTGCCGCGTTCCCGTTGCAGGTCCGCCAGGCGCAGGCGCAAGCGGCGTCCAAGAGCCCCCCAGAACACGTGGTGGTCTTTGACTGGTTCTTGGAGAGCGTGCTTCCTGGCCATGTGGAGGTCGGCATCAGCCATGCACTCCTGGTGAGGGCTCACCGGACACGGCGCGGCGGCAGAGGGCCACTCGGATGGCCCACTTTGCAGGCAGGGCACTCGATTGGGGGCCTGCAGTAAGGTGCTGCCTCCTGTCCAGGCAAGGAAGAGACGTGCCCGAGACCTCTGGAGGCTCATGCTTAGCAGGCACCAGCAAGTGTCCTCCCCTTTGCAGCTGCCGTGTCTCGCTGGTGCCTCTTGTCGTATGTGCGCTTACTCACGCTCTTGCGGCTCTCCTGCACACAGTGGCGGCTGCTGTCTGGACCAGGCCGGCCGCCTGTGCGCGAGTACCATGTGTCTTTGCTCCTCCAGGCGGGCCTGCTGGTGCGCCAGCTGGCGGATAGCACCGCCTTCTGGTTCGCCATCCCCAACGTGGGCCTTCTCGTCAAGAGCGTGGTCCAGGTGACGCGGAGCATCCAGCGCATCCCATGCAAGCGCTCACACGTACTTGCCACCGGGTTCCATTCACAGGTTGCGAACGTCCTACCAAGAAGGTCATAAGCCCGGAGAGGGCTCTTTCTGTGGTATGCGAGAATGCGGATGCACTCGGCCTGTTTCATCGAGCTGAAGCCATTTGTGGCGATGCCGGCGCTGACGGTTGAGCTGCTGCTGCAGGGCCGGAAGGAGCTGATTGGGTACTTGTCCCGGCGCAAGTACCGCGAGATGCTGCACACGGAGCTGAGCCGCAAAAATCTGCGGTACTCCATCTTAGGGATGCGGTTTCACCTTCGCGACCTGCTAGGTTCTGGCAAGGCTTTTACCGTGTCCACGACAGTAGGACCACTCATCCGTCTGGCAAGAGATTGATTTGGACGGTCCTTGACCCGACTATCGAAGCTCTGGGGCAGATGAGGTGCGTGCGATCAGCATTCTATGTAACCTATATGATACAAGGCCTTGTGTTTGACGAGCCGCCTGAGGGGGCCTGTGGGGCCCTCATCGTTTAACACTCTGCAATTGGGCCAACTGAGTTGCTCCAATTTGGAAGGGCGATTGAAGAATCATCACTGGATAGAATCCTAACCCTTTGGCTTGTATGCAACTGCAAACCACACTCGATTGCGTGGGAGTAACATGAGTTTTTAGATTATCAGGGTGGCACGGGGTGACAAGCAGGCTCGGCCTAACTACTTACATCGTGGCACGAGACTTACTGAATTTCGCGTTTCTTATGTTTGGCGGTATATACGGCAGTACGTGTGCAAACTGTGCACGTACGCGTTAACACTTTCACCCGCATTTTACATGCATTAGCTATCACTTTAAGAACCCATGGCTGAGGCAAATCATACACTTGACGTGAAGACTCGATATAGCTGAAACTGCCATATCCCTGAGAATAGCCTTTCAAGTTTTCAATCTGCAGTGCATGTCGGATGGATTCCATGCGGCGCCCGAATTGCTAATTAAGCTGGGCGGGTCGAATCGATTATCGAGTCGCGACTTGCGCCGCGCGTAAGTTCTTCTACAATCGTTATCTTCGACTCAAGAACTGTTATTCTGCTGAACGTTACCTTTTCTGTGATGATCGTAAATCTGCCTTGATCAAGTTCTATTTGCGTTCCCGCTGTTTCGGTCTCAATGCGCGTACCCAGCACGGTGATGCTAACCAAGCCGCCACCGCAACCCGTAAAGCCTGCTCCTTGTGTACTCTTCACGGCTTTGAAGATGAAGAACACTTCCTGCTTGTCTGCCCTGCTTACGAACTCTCCCGTCGACTCATGTGGTTGAATATTGAGGCCGCGCTTGAACAATCCGTCTGGGCACAAATAGCTCTGTCTCCTCCGCGCTTGCAACTAGACTATCTGCTTGGTCGTTGTGAAGCCACGTGGCACAAAGACTCCGCCATGTTGCTCGATTCGCTTGTTCGAACGTTCCTTCTCTCAGCCGCATCTGCACGCAAGGCTCGCATGAAAAGTGCTCCTTCCTAAACAACCGCTCGCCCGGCCACGCTCTTGTTGAAGTCGCTAACCTCTTCCTTCTGCTTTCAGGGTCCGTGACATAGGTTGTATGCACCCGCATCTAGTTTCGACCTGGCCCGTTAAGCTCGACGACCTCCAGCCGGTTTCGATTATTGAGACAGCGCTAGCATTTGCCCTTGCTCGGAGCGTGAAAGGCGTGACCTTCGATCCGATTTAGATAGGCCCTACGATCTATTGTACTCTCGCACTTGGCCCAGCTCGGAGCGTGAAACCCCTGCCAGTTTCACTCCGATTTTAAGTTTGTCTGCACCCAAGTCTCTGCCCTCGTCACATGACAAGTGTACATTACATGTGTATTATGTCGGTACCTTTTTCCCCTCCACATGTAAAGATCCCCAAAGCTATGAAGTACGGGGCAGGGGTTTTTTAATGGCCGGCATGGTGCATATGTACTGGTACTCCGCAATCGCTTCCGTACCCAACCGCGGTCTACACCCCTACCGAGATCACCGGTGCCCGCTAATTAGTGCCAATCCTAGTTTCAACGAACCACCAGTCAGGCTTCGCCAAGTAGCGTTGCAGTATAGTCTCCACAATGTACATGGATAAGCTGTTGACAGGCTAGGTTGGACTAAATTAGCTAGGCTTAGCGCAGGCTCAGATTCGGTAAGGAAGCTAGGCGCTCGGAACTCAAACATTGATTCCCATGTATGCCATGGAAGCCTATGGCCCGTGTGGCTACGGCGTTTGAAAAGAGAACATCGTACCGCTTAGTGTACAGCGCTAGTCACTAGTCTAATTCGTGGACGGTCCGAACTGAGCATGGAGAACCTGATCGATCATAGACCTTCAATTAGATAATTTCATGCAGCTAGGCACACGTTCAAAAATGCATGGCAAACCGTCTGGACACGGTAGCGATGCACATGCATGCATATGCCTTTCTTCATACCAGTGAGCCATTGATCAGGCCTAAGCTAGCCTAGTGCGCACAAAACATGCAAGGCAATCCACCGGATAGGCGCCGGCGCATCATTCATGGCCCGGGGGCGTCACCATACACTGACTCAATGAACGAACTTCATTACATGCATAAAAACGAATTCACTTGCATGAATTTACTCCTCCACGAAAGGTAAGCGTAAAAGCTGTTGAACTAATTAAAATATGTTTCGTCAGTTAAAAGTGTACACGTCATTAAAAGCATGCAGTCGCAATTATAGGATTGGCCGTTCCTAAGCTTGAACGTAGCAGGAAGTCAACTTGTCACCCTCTATTTCTCTAGTCAGAACCGCTCGACCCATCTGGGCTCGCCGGTTTCCTTGATATCAAGGTTTCGAGTACTATGAATCTTGGAATCGACCAAAACTGTCGTTCTTTGAGCTGCAGTCTTCTAGGACTGATCTGCGGCCATAACTTACCTTTGACGCATGCGTAGCTTCAGAGCGGGCTGCAGAGCGTCGCGAGTACCGCCAGCATCAAGCTGTCTCGTGGCCGCCACTGCTGGCCTGCCCGGCACCACCCTACATATGTACAACACACGGCTCTGCACCGCCAGGACTCTCGAGACTTGCGGCGCCGTGCTGTGCTACACCTCTGCTCCCTCGAGGTCCTTGAACGGCAGCGGGATGGAGCGCACCGCCCGGAACTTGCCCACGTTGTTCAGGTGCTCGTTCTCCAGCCTGCACCGCCCCACCCCGCTGGCTCAGCACGATGCGCGCACCACTGCTCTGCATGAGGCGTCTCGGGCGCCATCCCGGCGCAAGTGCATCACTTCAGGTCGCAACACCCGCTAGCTGAGAAACGGCATGCTTTGTGCAGCACCGACCATCACAAGGACGCAGCACACACGGCTGCTTAGCAGCCCTTAAGCAGGAGTTGCAGCCGGGCGGGAGGTCTCACCGGAAGAAGTTCCAGAGCCCTCTGCGCAGCACCTCCAGCGACGCCGCGATGAGCGTCATGATGCTGGGCGGCACCCGGCCCCCGAAGCGGAAGCGCGAGATGGACTGGATCCACGCCAGCCGCAGCACCACGTCCGCCACCTGCGCACACCAGCACGCGCCACGCTGAGCGCGGAGAGGGGGCCAGTCCGCGCGGGCACGGCGCCAGGAGACGTATGTGTCAGAATTTACCTCCACTACACGATGGGCCCAAGTCGCAGGACATGGAGAGAGTCGGCACGCCGGCCTCGTAATAGCTGGTCGTGGCTTGCCAACAGTCCTGTCAACCACCCAGCGGGCCCACTAACGCACAATCCCTTGAAGCAGACTGTCATCGCTTCGGAGTCGTCAATGGTGTCCCTCAGGTCATTCAAGAGGACCGTGAGTTACAGTGAAGGCCAGTTTGTGGACTGCCCCGCGCTCTGGCAGCCCAATGGCGTCGTGGGGCGTCATAGGTCTGTCGTCGCAGCGCGCGCCTCACCATGGCGGCGTAGTAGATGCTGTTGTGTTTGAGCACGAGCTGGTCGCGCAGCCAGGGGTGGCGAGCGTGCCGCCGCAGGAGGCCCCAGTCCATGACCAGGTCCCAGTACGCCTGGTACGCGGTCGCGACCACCGCGGCGATGATGCTCAGGACGAGGCCCGCGCGGGTGCCGCTGTTGAGGTACCAGAGGCGGAAGCTGACCGCCAGCATGGCGCTCAGGTACTTGCCCGCGTTGGCCACGTGCACGCGCTCGCGGCCCTCCTCGAAGAAGCGCCGCCAGCACTGCCACGCGCGCACGCAACGGGGTGTCAGGGAGGCGTGCCGCAGAGGAACGGAAGAAAGTGCAGCTGCGGATATGCATGAGGCCATGACGGTAGGGAGGCGGGCTGGCCCTGCTGAAAACAGGCCGGCTCACGGAACGCAAGGTCATCGCTGCAGGCCTCTTCGGAAAAGGAGAAACAGATAACGGACAGACTTGCTGGAACGGGAAAGGGTCCTTATACGTGCACGCTAGCAGACCTTTGAAGCTCGGACCTTGAAGAGCCGGCCGGCCACGGGGGAGCAGTGCGGCCATCGAGGTGGGGCGTACCTGCGCGAAGCGGAACCAGTAGGGCAGGATTGCGACCACGTAGAGCATGCTGCGGTACGTGCCATTGCCGGTGCAGGCGGCGCCGTCGCGGTTTTTGAAGTGGCCGCCGAAGTAGTAGCAGCAGCAGTACTGCAGCTGCTGCAGGAACGGAATCTGCGCCACACGCCAGGCCGCAGAACGTGAGCCGGAGCGCACCACAGAGACGCCACGGAAGCAGGACCCAGTGCAGCAGGGATGCAGCACCAGCCTGGAAACGAACCCGGGGAGGCCCCTAACAAAACTACAGTGCTTCAAAAGCAGAGTGAGCACCGCTGAGCCTCGGCCACCGAGGGCCAGCAGGACAACGTTGCTTCGAGCCTTGCAGCCGACTGTGCGGGTCAAAATGCATGCCGGCAGGAGGGGCGGGGGGCAGCTGCGCGACCTGGCTGGTGAGCTGGTCGCCCACGAAGAAGTCGGCGAGCATGACCCGGTAGAGCGGGGCGAGGGCCAGGTGGCGCAGGATGCGCAGCAGGAACATGCGGCTGGGCCGCCAGAAGAGATCCAGCGGGCACAAAAACACCGCCAGCCACACCTGCACAGCAGCGCCCAGCGTACCGGGGTTCAGAAGGGCGGGGCTCCGAAAGAGGCGAGTGCTCACAGTCGAGGGGACGCGTGTGGCCCGGCAGGGTGCTTTGAAAGTGTGAGGAAGGGCGGGCCGTCCATACCGGCCGTACCAGGATGCGACGAAGTTCGCAACAGAAGCAAAAGCAGACCCTTCTCGATCCAGGCGTTATCCTTGTCGCAATTGTTTGCCAATCAACTTCCGAACGGAAAGGCAGCACGCTTTGCCCCGGTTTCCTGCTCTCGTCTGGTTGCGACCCAGCACATGAAAATGACTCTACGATTCCTTCCCATGACCTCGCAGCAGTTACACTGGCACGCCTCAGAACGACACCGGTGGTTGTGCCCCTAGAACGACAGCCTTCGGCTCATACAGACTACGACGCCCTGTTGCCCTCGACAAAATGTACGCAGGCACCTGTGTGCAGGTGCCGCCCTTTTTCAAAGTGCACAGCGGATCAGCCCGGACCGAACACCTGTCGGGCAGGACCCTCCTCCTCACCAGGAGCACTGCGAGCGGGATGTACTCGCCAGCGCCGCCGTGCACGCGCGGGTCCGCCGTGTGCAGCACGAGGTGGAGCACCATGCCGCCCAGCGTGAGCGTGGTCATCAGCGACGCCGCCAGCAGCACCTGCCACGCACCGCCACCACCCGCAGCTCACCCCGCGAGCACAGCGAACGCAGCAGACGGGGCAACGGCAGGCGCCGCGGCCAAGCAGAGGCAGCGGAACACATAGAGGAACGAAGGAAGGGGCCGGCGAAAGAGGCAGACTTCCGCGGGCGGAGGGCCCAACGCCGGCCTCGGACCCTGTTCTAAACCTGGCACGGTCAAAAAATGCGCATCAGGAATCCGCCACCAGCCTCGAACTTGGGCAGGGAGGTCTCACCTCGCGGACGCGCAGCTCAGTGCCGGGGCGAAACTCGAAGATGAAGGAGTAGTTGATCTGCTTGATGCGCCAGCAGTAAACGTTGCCGCCGTACACGAACATGTGCAGCAGCAGCAGCAGCATCGCCCTGCACGGCCAAGCGAGCCAGCACACGCAATTGTCAGGCTGGGCGCAGAGACGCTCGACCCTGGCTTGCATGTGGGCAGCAAACACGCATTCAAGAGAATGGAGGGCGGCCGTAACACACACACCATGTGCAGAGGCTACTTGCAAACAGAGAGACAATACGCGATCTTACGTGAAGACCGGGAAGACTGAGTGGAGGTAGTCGGCCCCGCCGCGCTGGTCGTAACCGCCCGCGTTGGAGATGAGCACGATGAAAGTGATGAGCAGCGACAGGATGCAGCCGCTGAAGAAGCCTGCGCACGCAAAGCCGCGGGCGTCAGTGCAGGCAGGGGAGGGGGGACGAAGTGGTGTCGACCCCTGCTCAGGCAGCAGAGCCAGGGGGAGCAGGCGGCGGGCGAGAAGGGCTCGGCGACTATCAGCGAGCTGCGGCAAGAGACACACAAGTTGTGAGTGCTATGAAGCACAGTCGAGCAGCATTCATAACCACTGGTTTGTCTCATCTCCGCTCGGCGCCCTGGCTCGGCTTGCGGGGCTGCCCTCACCGAGCGCGTAGGTGACCTGGTGGGAGGCAGAGCGGTGCACGGGGCGCAGCACCTGCATGGCCTGCTTGTGGCTGTCCCCCGCGAACTGCTTGGTGAACAGCGCCTCCGTGGCCGCCATCATCTGCACCACCGCCGGCGACGCGCAGAAGTGCGCGCGCTCCACCGCAGCCAGGTACGGGCGCGCTGCGGTCCACCCCACCACCTTGTCGTGCTTCTTCAAGATCTTGCCGAACGCCACCGTGTTCAGCGAGCTGCACAACGAACAAGGGCCTCAGAGCAAGGGCCAGGGCGCACGGAGCCACATCCTCTCAGGAAAATATCGTACCTGCCGATGGCGTAGGTAAAGTGGATGACAGTGTAGAGACCGTGTGTAACCTTTGGGGTTCAAGGTGGGCGGGGCCTGGGCGGGCGAAGCACAGCGGCAGTCCGCTCTGCTACTAGTTGCCGGAGCCCAGAGTATGCGGCTGGCATGTTGGTACCTGAAGCTCTTGAGCAGGCCGAGGCCGCGGTAGAACTCGACGGTGGCGCTGTGCAGCAGCTTCTCGGCCCTCTTGATGGTGCTGCGGCTCTGCTTCAGGACCTCCGTCACGTCGTCGCTCAGCTCCGCCAGGACGCTCTCCGCACGCGTGCCGGACCGCGCAATGTCGTTCCACAATACGCGCGACATCTTGTTAAGCGCCAGCACAGGCGTGGCCGCCGGGATGACCAGGCGCAGGCTCCTGATGTCAGGAATCGTCGTCTCGCCGTCCATTGCCTGCGGTCCGGTGGAGAAAATCTAGGTAAGCAACAATCTACAAAGATGCACACTATGCTTCCGAACAAAGCAAAAGCATGAAAGGGGAGGCAATTTGTCTGCTGACCTTTGCCGTACTAATCCAGGCACCAATGCATTTTCTGGACGATGATGAACTTGGTGGAAAATCTGTACCTACCCTTTTGATGGATACAGCCTCACTTTGCCTGACAACCTGCACTCGTTTGGGGAAGCCATGCCTGAGGAGAAGTTGGTCAAAACATCCGTCCTGGGACCATTGTCAGTATAGCTAGGGCGCACTCCGCAGGCACTCCACGTTCATCCCGATGCTTGTGTGTGCTCCTGGCTGCAACAATAGGGCAGAGCCACATGGCAGCCGGGCCTCCGATCTTACTCCACCATGTTCGCGAGCCATCAGCGCCTGCTACTGACCTCACGCTGGCAGTTCTCCCCATCTCGATACCCCGACTGGCCCGCAGGCGTACTGGCTTCCCGCCTCCTGTCTGCGCCCTGCCTGCCATTCTGCACTCCGTCGGCGTCCCTTCCGTTGGCCAATTCTTGCAGCGCCACCCTGGGAAGTGCCTCATTGGCAACGGCTGGCGCGGTCTCAGCACGGGGGGACTGGGGCCCTTCAGGAGAACGAGGCGAGGAAGATGCGGCAGCGTTCATTTGCTCCTGCTTCTTGGCCAGCGCCTAGAGAGGGGAAACGGGGGAAAGGAACAATCACAGAAGAGCCAAGCATGCAAGGCACACTCTACCTCTCAACGTGTGGGCAAAGCAGAACGCTTTCGTGACAATCATCCTCGAGTGCAGAGGAACTGGGCACATGAACGTAAGTCCTTGACAGTCCTTGTTCTCAAAATGGACGACAAGTACAGGAAGCAGGCAAGCTGCTGCCCCTCAAGGGGCACCAATCTTGACATCCCTCATCCCTCCGGCATCGACAGAAAGAGCAGCTTCAATCAGGGGAGGTTCCTCACGCTCTTCATCTCATTGAGCGCTGCGATCTGGCGCTCCAGGTGCTGCAGGCGGGCACTGTACTCCTGCTCCTTCTTGCCATAGAAGAGGTTCACCTGGGGGCACGCACCGGGCTCAACCGTCCAGCCAAAAGAACGCGCTCACCAGGCCAAATGCAACAGCAGCGATCGAGGCAGACAGAGGGACTCCTTTTGCGATGGCAGGTCTTATAAAAATGGGGGCCCTGCCTCATTCAGTAACCTGGCTTTCAACCGTGTGCCCCTGACAAACAGCCCCAACTTGCCACTGAACTGCTCCTAACGACGCCACGGGCACTGGGCCTGCTGCAATGTGGGTGGGCCTTTTGTGGAGGAAAGGAGGGGGGGGTTTGTATGGACTTGGCACCTTGTTCAGCTGAGCGTCCATGCGCGCAAAGAATGTGACCTCCTCGGGGGACTCGTTGACGGGCGGCAGCACGTCCGTGTAGTATGTGTCGGCACTGCCGTCCGCTGCGTCGCCGCGCACGGTGCGCACCTGGCAGCCACGAAAATGGGCTGGCAATGACAGTGAGCCGTGCCACGACCGCAAAAGGGCAACAGGGGGCATCAAGCCTGGTCTGCAATCGCAATGTGGGACCCTGCCTCTCATGCCGCCTCTCCTGGCCCCTCATCGTATAGCGATAGAATTGCAGTCCAACTTAAGCCGATAGGCAGGCAAGGTGATTGGTCATGCAAAGAACTTGCACACTGCAGCAAGTTGTGAAGATGCGGCCGGAAGGCCTGCCCCCCTTGTTGGTGGTGGCACTTACGGTGATGTAGTCGGTGCCGGGCTGGAGGCGGGCACGGGACCTGCTGCGCCGGATGAGGGTGTTGAGCGATGCCGAGCTGCGGCGGCGTGGCGTCCTCTGGCCGTCCGCATCGGGGTCCTGCTCGCCACCACCGTGAACGCTGCCCCCACTGGAGCCGCGGAAGGTGCGCAGGCGGACGGGGGGAATGCGCTTGATGTCCTTCTTGAGCTTCTTGTAGCTCACCTGCACACACAGGAAGGGACGCCGCGATGTCATCACCGCATCTCGGACGTTGTTGCCCAAGCTCAGCTTGTGAATTTGCCAACTTGTGACCACCGTCCACTCTCCCACCATGCTAACTCCCTGACTGAGGATGTCCAGGGTGTTCAACAAGACCCTGTCAAGCGAGGAAGCAAGCATGTTAGCCACCTGGCTGCTTGACTCACATATGCGTCCCTCCATTCCGGAACCAGCTGCAGCTCCAAGTGCTTGGCAAACTTGACCATGGCTGCAGGAGCCCACTAGCGTCACCGGACCTTCCTGTTGCAGGGTAGCACTCTATGATGCCGACTCAAAGGGCACATGGTGCGTCTGCCACAGGGAGGGAATGGGGGGCAAGCTGCCACCAGAAGTTCAAACAGGTACCCTTGAGTAGGTAGTCACTGTAAAATGCCACCATGATGCCCAAATCACCCATGCTCTGCATTTTCAGCACGGGCCTGGCCGGGCTCGGAGGAGCCTGGCCCAAGGCCCAGGGCCAAGGCCCAGGGCCAGGGCCAAGGCCCAGGCCCAGGCCCAGGCCCAGGGCGGAGAACGTACGGACAACGGTACGTGGGCTTTCGGAAGGAAGCAAATGCTCCCTCGGATCGACGGTCTGAGTTGATCAGCTCTACAAGTTCTGACCATCGATCGAGTTGATTTAATCTTGAGGGGGGGTCCTGTAAGGAGTCCGCCATCCTGTCCCTCCCGACTTCTGTTTCCACACTGGAATCTTGCAGCAATGATAGGGTGGTCACATTTGTATCCTCGGAAAACCGGCGCACCGACCCCAAGGGTGTGCACCGTCCCTAGAAACCCACTTTGGTCATATTTGCATTTGGGGCCACTCGACCGGACGGCTAGAACTTTCCGCTTTGTGCGGTCTCGAGTCGTGACGGTATATTGTGCAAACCCACCCTAGAAACTTTTTCGGAGGTCCGGGATCGGTCGCCCCCACCCTAGAAATTTTGCGACCCCGAACCTTAGGGTGGAAATCCCGCCCCAAGGGTGGAATTTCCACCCCGAGGGTCGGAATTCCGGCCCCGAGGGTAATTGTCGCGACCTCAGATGTGACCACCCTATGAGTGGGTACATGTGGTCCAAGGACAAGGCTGAGCTTCGAGTGCTTGTTTCAGAACTTGAAGTTGAAGATTTCTGAGAAACGAAATGGCGGTCTTGGGGCGCTGGTTGCTTTTGAGTTGTATGTTACTTCTGAGCGCATGCGATCTCTGTGCTGCCGATGCCGGCGTGCTGCCAGGATCCGACCTGGGCGTCGCCCAGCAAGTGAGTCAGGTCCAGCGGAAGTTGCACGAAGTGCAGGACAAGCTTGAAGCTGCAGGTAAGCGGCTTGCCAGCTCGCAATCTGCCCACCAAAGTACCTGTGACGACCGTATTTTGCCAGTGGTTGAAGAGTGCCACCTTCAGCCAAAGAGGGCAGTATTCAAATGTTGCATAAATGCTCGCCATCAGCTCAGATTGGTGCAATAAAAGACCAACTGTTTGATCATATGCTGTGCATGCAGCACCATTGATGGACAGAGGATTGGCTGCTGAGACGCAACATCTGCAAGAGTCTGCAAACCTTGCTATCTGAAAGGAGGCGTTGTAGGATTTGGTTGTGATTGACACACACTCTTTGCAAACATAGAAAGCACAGCACCACTTCTTAGAGCAATTTTCAATATTTTTCTCACTTCATGCATGATCAACGACTCGATGATGCAGTGGTTAAAACTTTAACATACTCTACTCCTCTTTCCACTCTCTTATCCTGCAGAAACTCGCAGCGAAACGCTTGGAAAGCATGCAGAGGTTGTCGAGGCTGAATTGAAAGCCACCAAAGAATCGGCAGAAGCAGAGCTCACTCTGCTCAAAGTAAGCTTCATTTTCTCGCCACTGCATGCTTTTTGAGAAACGATTCCAAAGTTGAGCTCTGAGTCGCTGTGCAGAATGTTGTAGATCCCTCTGGTTATAGAGACAGTTCCGAGAAACATAACTCAGTGGACTTCGCTGATGCAGGAGAGCCAGACTGCTGAAGTGGAATCAGCATCAGGAAGGTTAAATGACGCTCTTTCAAAGATACAAATGTTGGAGGAGGAGGTAAGTAATACCTGGTTGCCTGTATGCATACCAGCAAACCATCACTTCCTTACCAGCCTTCCATCATATGCATGTGTCACGTGGTTCAAGAGCCTCTCCCTGTGATGCATACTTGCAGCACTTCCATCTCTGCTTTGGATCTAAATTGCAACATCATAAAGGGAAAGTTCGGATGCTTCTGCAGGTGGCGACTCTCTCTTCTCTTAAAACCCAACTTGAGAGTGAACGTTCAAACCTGCTGAAACTGGCGGCAAATGGGAAGAAGGCAGAAAATGTTGAGAAGAGGGCAAAGCTTCTTGAAGAGGAGAAGCAAAGACAACTCGAGCGGGCTGAGAAAGCCGAACGGGGGGAGGCAGCCCAGCGCGAGCTGGTGCTACAGGTGATTCCCTCCAGCCAGTCTGCCCGAGTGTCCCATGTGCAGCAGAGGACAGCTTGAAGTATCGCGTGGTCTCATTCAGTGCAGGACGTAGTTCCTTTAGTGGTGTGTCCTAGATAGAATGGTACGGCACATTCGTAACATGGAGAGTTTGTTCAAAGAAAGATATTGTAAGAGCGCCAGGCGTGATGAGGGTCGCGTAACTTACTTTGTTGATTGTTGTGTTGTCTCCACTTTTTCCTTCAGTTAAAAGTGGAGGGGGACAATCTGCGCGAGCAAGCGGCAGAAGCTGCAGCAAAGGTTGCCAAGCTGGAGGTGAAAGCAGACACCTGTGACCTGAATTTGGGCATGCATCTGGGCAGCTTCGAATGATGGAGCTTGTAGCAATGCTTTGTGATAGCCATTGCAGCCCATCTTGTATTGTACATTTTTTCAAGACCGTCTATTGCTTACATCTTGTTAGCATTGACTAGCGCATCAATTGCTCATCTCGTCTGCTCATTGTCTGTATTCCTGCTGCCAGGCTGCCTTGCTCCAGGCCCAAGCGGAGCTCTCCGCAAAGGACCAGGTCATGTCTAATTGGCTCCCACCGTGGGCGGCAGCCAAGATCAACCCCGTGCAGGTGAGAACACAAGCCTCCTTGGAAGGAGTCTATCGGCATGTATCATCTTAGAGGCCATCAAGGTTTTTGATCGTGTCAAAGGTGACGATGCTGCTGTTCATGCAAGTCATGAGGGGAGAAGTTGTGCAAGTTCAGTGCAGTCAAAGCTGCAAACTTCTGTTTAATCTGCTATGTCTGTTTGAGCTAGCATGTTGGATCCATTGTGCCCAGCATCGCTGCTGTGACAATTGGAGGTGTGTATTTGTGTGTGCGGGTTTTTGGGGAGAAGAAATTAATCAGGGCACTAAGTCAGAAATTCGCTGCCGCCTCTACCCTACCTCAGATCTGATTGACTTGCTTTCTTCACAGGAAGCATTCCTAGTGCGCTGGTTCAAGCACGGACACCCTGTTTACCAGCAAGTGTCCAGCATGGTGAGATGCACACACAGCCATATTGTTTCGCTCAACAACTTTAGCAGGGCGCCAGGTTTCTTACACACAGCTTCATATATTTTTGATTTGGTCGAGTTGCTCCATAGCAGCTGGTTGCGTAGTTGAAAAAAGCGGAGGCCTTGTGTTTTACCTGTTGCATCTCGTCCATTCCGTTCAAATGCTTCTTTGAAACTTGCCTCTTGGGCAATCTCCAATATTAGGCTCTTTTTTGGGGGCAAGCTCGGAAGACTGAAACCAACTTGACTTTCTGCAGTTGACTTCAAGAGCAAGCACTGCACATGAATGGGCACAGCCGCATATCAAGCGTGCTCGTACGGTGAGCTTTCCTTCCATTAACTGGTTATCATGTTTCCCCAAACAATTCAACCATTTTTATCTTGGTTTTTGGCACAGCCTTACAGTGCACTGTTTGAATGTTGTGCACTCAAGCTGGCTCCCGACCATGCGATGCAGGCAGCTGGGCACTCGTGGCAGGTGGTGGGGGAGCCCACACTGGGGTATGTTCAAGCAACGCACCAGGTTAGGCACCTTCAGCTTTGTTGGGGGCCGTCCAGGGGGGAAGTTCTTCAGCTTGATACGTTTACTTTTCCACATGCTGCCTTCGATGAGCTGCGTTGGTTCTCTGTTACTGTCTTCAACGGCCTTTTCCCTCTGGTCGTCTGTGAATAGGATCTTCTTTGCTCTGTTCAGAGGTTGATGCCTGTGGTGGCCGCCGAGTGGGCAGAACATGCGACTCCCGTACTAGGGAAGATCCATGAAGGCGCTGCTTCAGCTTACACCCGGGTCGCCACCTTGGCTGGACCCCATGCACAGAAGGCCCGCCAAGGTCTGGCTGCAACTATTGACAAGCTTTTGCGAAACGTAAGGACACCCGAACTCTGTCCATTTTCTGGTGCTCAAACCCAACTATCGACTGAATACATCTGCAAATTATAAGCTTGTTGTACATCTCTGGGGGACTGCCACTCTGAAAGAAAGCTGCGCATTAAAAGCTGTCCATGCCGACACTTTGGAAGTTTTCTTGCAGCCTCAGTACCGGGCTTTATCTGCAGCGGCAGCCCCGTATGTGCACCAGTTTCAAAAGCTGCTTCGACCCGTTCTTGATGCTGCTAGGTTGGCAATGGGTTCTGCAAAGGACTTGCACGACCAGGTGACAACGTTTACTTTTTCGTCCTGCTCCACTTGCTTGTGAAGCGTGTCCTGACGGTGACGGACGTATTTGTCTCCAGTTGCGAACGGCGTTTGTTGTGAAGCAGCTGGTGCTTGCTTGAGAGCTAATGGCGATTTCTACCTCGTTCCAAGGAGGCTACACTGTTGGCATGGCGAGATTGGGAAACGAAGTCTTGATTATGAGCTTGTAATGAGCGGTCTCTTGCGCTGCCCTCAGTTTGTACTTGTTGCCTTGCAGGCTGTGCAATTTGCACTGAAGCAGCTTTCCTCGAACTCTGCTACGGCTGCTTATGCCACAACAAAGAATGCGCATGTGGTGGTGAGTAGATCAGACTTTGGCTTTGTGTTCAAGAGCTGTTATAGGAAAGTGACTCAACAGCATAATATCTGTAGCGTCATGTTGTTACTCCAGAGTCCCTGATTATTGGGAATCTGTGGTGTTTTTCTATAGCATATCCTTGCAAGGTTATTACGGGTTCATGAGGGCAGTTGAATTACCTGTCGTGACTACTCTCATCTTTCCAGGTGTACATCATTTTGGCGCTGCCGGCTGTTTTGATCTTTGCTTCCTATCCTACGTTGAGGTAAGGACCAGATTTGATCACCCATAGTTCTTTGCCATTCCAGGTTACATAGCATCCAAGAAGCATGCATTCATTGTCTGTTCGCATGACCAACTAGCTTGTATGCAAGGCGAGCTTTGCACAGAAGGTACCGAGCCTATTATGATCCCCTTCTCTTGAATCACAGGAAGGAGGCGCATCCAAAGCTTCCAGGTTCCACTGCCGAGACTTTCGCCAAAAAGAAACGGAGGATGGTGCCAGGCAAGCCCGGTCAAGATAGCGCTATGGGAAAACGGTCAAGTGGCATCCCAACAAATTTTGAGTCATGAATTGGGGAATCAAGGTAGAAAAAAACTGGTTCTACAAAGTTGCTAAAGCAACTTGCAATAGTATCGACCTTTGGCAGCGAACATGCTTTTTTTGGAGATTGCGTTCATGCATGTCAAAAGTATGTGATGGGTTGGTCTTGCGAGATCACGACCTTGATGTGCTGTGATGCATTCACTTGAAGTGCAGAATTGCCTAAGTCGCGCAATCAGATGCTGTAGATATATCCAGCTAGCCTGCTCGTTTACGAAAAATTGCGTCATGCTAAGAATCAAGTAGCAGCAAATCGGAACAAATCAGCCAGCTATGCCAGCCTGGTAGTACCCCCTGCCAGATCTTCACAGAAAATCGGAAAACTTGTGACGAAGTTGAAGGTGGGGGCCAGTCTTATTTTCGGAGTTTTAACCTTGAAACGCCCTTGTGGATCGAAGTTTTTTGACATGACTCGAGATCAGTGATGTTCTCTTTTCAATCGCAACTTGAAGTCAGTGATGCCTCGCAGTCAACTTCACGCGGAAAGTGCATGATATGTGCGTCCGACGTGGTTTTACACAAATATCATTGAATGCGGGTTTGAGAAGACCAATAACTCAACTAGCTCGCCTCGACCAGACGGTTGCCCATGCAATGACTTTTTCATTCCAGTAACGATGATCGAAGACCTTTAAAGACCCATGTGCTGAAATTATTGCCTCGGTGGCCAATATTCGATACTAGCTAGCCGTGCGCAACGGCGGGCCGTCGGTTTAAAGCGCTTAAAAGGTGTGAGGCCAATATAGGAGTATATTGGATTGAACGCTTGAACTAATTGGCTAACGTACCAGCTCGATTTACATGCAAAATTGGACTGTACCGTACAATGTAATACGTCATGAGCATGACTCATTATTCACGTATGCAGCTCGATCGAATATCATGCATGCATGCGCATTGCAAGGGTTACATATAGTATATACTGAGTAAGCTACCTTCCGACGATGTACAAAACCAAATGTTTGCCACTGAGCGCGCTACCCGGGCCCACCGTTGCCACCACATCAACCATATGTACGGTCATGGCCGGTGCATCCCTGTAGGCCCTCCAAGTCATGCAGCAACAATGATTACATATGCGGACATCTATTGCCGGAATTCAAGCATAGGCCGGGCGCGCACCGTCACGCCACTAGTATTGGCAATGATGGCGGCGCATCAGCCGCGCTTTGTGATCGTACTGACCAATAATATGTAGGGGCCATGCATGCTAGCAGAATGCGTGGAGGGAGAACGTGGACCAAATTCGCACGTTTTTTAGACCCTGCCAAGCTTTGGTACCCTGTCGACCGAGCACGGGCCCGCCGCCCGGGTCGCTGAGTCCGGGGTCATGAATTTGGCAAATTCGTACCCGAAACGTTGTACCTGCTAACGGCTGTGGTCTGCGGGAGGTATACCGGGGAAGTGCTGGTCCTCATGCCAGCGTGGCCGGGAGAAGCTACCTACATACTGTGCGCAGTCCTGGGTACAAAATGGTGGGGGTTTCGAATAGTCCGGATTTAGGCACGTTCTCCTTCCACGGATTCTAGCGGGCCTAGGTGGTGGCGGACTTAACGCATGACCTCTTTAAAAACACGAGCAAATGTGCAGCATATGTCGTGCTTCAAGTTTATCCAGAATACTCACCGTTTCTGGAAAACCATGACGCACTTTTCCAGATGTTTGCAACAAACTTCATCCACAAATTGAGAGGAGAGCTAGTGGCAGCATGTGCACTCGCTGCAAAGTCGTCTTGGTTAACCGGAACACAACCTGGGGCACTTGCACCACCGAGCAGATTCTCCTGATGGACGCAACCTAGTTTGAAGGTTCGTCAACCGCATCTGGAACCGGATGAGACTCAGCACTTGCAAGGATGTCCGACGGGAACACGTCCTTCGGTTCGGGATACAAGAGCTGCGTCTTGCCCTCCAAGTACTTTTTCAGGAGGTATGTGGTTGAGTAGTTGAAGCCAGTGATCTGCACGAATGCAAGGAAGCACTCAGAGATCGGTCTGTGAGAAGCAGATTCGTAGTCAAAGCTGCCGCGCATTCGGACAATCAGCTTTAACTCTACCAAGTAGAACCCTCTGTTTTGTCACAGTCAAATTCTAAAGGATTGACCCTGCCCAAGTTGCCCTGGAAACTCAATGGGCCACCATCCAAAACTCCCAGCATTGCCACACGTCAGGCATCGACAACTGTCGGACGGAACAAAGCAGATGCTCTTGTGCTCCTCCTGAAGGACCTCTTCTTATGATGCAGCAGTCTCTGGTTCCTAGCTTCCTGCCAAAAATGGGCTGGAGCTCTGGGGTTGCCTCTGTACACAAACACCGGAGTGCCGGGCGCACGTGGTGGCCTCACCTGCTTGCCCTCCGTCCTGGCGGCGTTCATGGTAGACCGGACCTGCTTGGCTAGCACCTTGCCCAGCTCCACGCCCCACTGGTCGAAGCTGTTGATCCCCCACACAAAGCCCTGGGTCGCCACGCGGTTCTCGTACAGCGCCAGCAGCTGCACCCACCGCGCCTCGCGCAGTCAGACCCCAGCCACGGCCCCACTCGCCAAGCTCACAAGCATGCAAGGAAACGGGGGCGCACATGCGGGCGAGCTGACTGCAGTGCACTAATGGGCCACGGCCCACTTACCTGGCCAACAGTGTAGGGAGTGAGGTTGGGCAGTAGGATGCTCAAAGACGGCCGGTTTCCGGTGAATTTCTGCAGGAAGAGAGAGAAAACTTCAACCGTATGCAAGTGCACGCATAGCCACTGTTTCGCCCCCTCTGCTCAGAGTTGCTGCCAACGAGACCAGGATGCAGCACAAAGGGTCCCGCGTTGCGCGGTTCAGTGCACTGCCTGGAGCGCACCTTGTGGGGAACCAGCTTCTCGGCCACGCCTTCGCTCCTAACCTCCTCCTCAGTCTGCACACAAGGGGAGGCGACGCAGAGACGGTTAGAGCAGCAGGAACATCCGGGGGCATGCGGAGGGAACAAGGCACCATGCCAAGGACACTAGCTCTTGCTAGTTAACCGTAGTGGGTGCTTTCTGGTTGATTGGACACGAGTTTCATCATATACAGCCTTGCAGCAGCTCACCTTCCCGTATGCCAGTGCATCAGCCTGCGCAAAGAAGTTGCACATCAACTCGTCGTGGTTGCTCACAATCTCGTCTGCAGAGCATGGGATGCAGAGCTGGCTCTGTTAGTACCCGCAACGACGTTGCTTGGTCTCGGAAGAGTACAATCAATCTTGCGATGCACTCGACACAAGCTTTCACGCACACACAAGATAGTGATCTCCGAATTTTGCAACGGCTGTGGTAAGATCACCCTGGGTGGCGCTCGTTTCTCCAAGATCATGGAGAAATAGGGTCCAATGAGCACGCTCGTCTAGCCCGGCACCCCTGTTCCAATGTGCGGATAGGAGCCACGTAGTGATGAATTGGGCGGACCTTTAAGGTAGACGGACTGCTGGCTCTTGATGATACCAATGAAGTCGCAGGGGATGATGCGGCCCTGGTGGATGAGCTGGTAGAAGCTGTGCTGCCCGTTGGTGCCCGGCTCGCCGAAGTCGACCTCACCCACCGCGTACGGCAGCGGCAGCCCGTCAATGGACACGCCCTTGCCGTTGCTCTCCATGCTCACCTGCAGCACGCGGTGTGGGACAACAGATGATAGCAAGCGTCGGCCCAACATGCAGCTGCCAGTCTTTGGCATCACTTTCCTGCCGAAGTTGCTGTCGCAAGCAAGGCGAGTGCTTCAGAATAGTAGATCAAGAGGGCAAACGAACGCACGGGACGCCTCTATACTAAAGGAGTGGGTGCTTGGCCTTTTCTTCAAAGTCGAGAACTCTCTGACGATTAAACATACCTGCTGAATATGGGGAGCCAACTTGGAGAGTGCCTGGCAGTACGGCAGGATAGCCCGCGCAGGACACCCCAGGAACGTGTTGTTCCACACGCTGAGGAGGCCGGTCAGCACCTGAACGCACGGCAAGAGAAACTCGAGAGTTATCTAGCTGAGAGGTCGTGCTGACGGACTGAACATCGTTATTCCCAATGAAGCGAGTGACAAGGCCTTTCGGTCTGCAGCATAATATCAATTGCAATTGTAGCCGCCGTATGCAGTGAGGACATTCGTCGTTCGATGCAGCAATCCTGACGACACTACGACGTTGCAGCTCACCGGTAGATTTTCTTCCAAAGGTGCAGTATGGAAGTGCTCATCCACTGACCAGGCTCCCTCGAGGAACCTGAGATAGCCAAGACCGGATCGTATTAGGAAGTTAAGACAGTACAGCATATCTTTCATAATGCTGCAGCTTTTCATGTCTGTTGCCGGCAGGGAGGGCACGAAAAAGGCATCAGAAGCCGATGAGTTGACAGATAGAGTACTCACTTCTGGACGTTGTCAAAGCCGTATTGCAGAGACAGCGGGACCACTCCAACGGCACTGGTCACACTGTAACGACCGCCAACCCAGTCCCAGAAAGCAAAGGCGTTCTCAGGGTCGATGCCAAATTCCTTGACTAGCTGCGCAGATGAGCAAGCACAGAAAGTCGTCAATAACAAGCAAGCGCTTGTTGGTTCATCTCGCAGGTTCTGCTGAGCTTCAAGCTTAGCATTCATATCGAAGCTTGGATTATTATATATCGAGCCTTGTATATTCCAGTTCAGTTGCCTGCATGAGGGTTCCTGTATATCGTGCTGACCTTGAGGTTGGTGCTGACTGCCACCACGTGCTTAGCAACAGCGTCGTCCCCCAGGGCAGAAGTGAGCCAGGTCCTGACTGTGCGTGCGTTGAGCATCGTCTCCGCTGTGGTGAAAGTCTTTGACACCACGACCACAAGTGTTGTCTCCTGCTTCAGGCCTTGCAGGGCGTTGGCAACGTCTATTGGGTCCACATTTGCCAGGCTGTATTGACAACAAGGGCGGGTGAGGAGGCACGTGCTGCTGGAATCACAGACACCAAAAAATCACAAATGCGCACACAAGCCCATGAGGCGGCCTTATTATGGCCTGCCCCCCGCACCGACTTCATAGTGTCACTTACAAGCGCAGGCGGCGGCCCTTGGCAGCTGTCGCAGTGTGAGGCTCTGTCCTCAGGGCAGTGTGGACGAAGAGGGGGCCGAGGAAGCTGCCACCAATCCCAATGGCCACCACATCTGTCAGAGGCTTCCCTGTAGCACCTTTCTGCACGGCGGGGATCCTCGATGAGACTAACCATCAGGCCAAAACCAGAGTCTTGACACAACTAGCATCATGCACTCTCTAACAGTCAATAGGCTCATAATCCAAAAGGAACCAGAGGCGCCTGTCAAAGCAAGACCTGTTGAGACAGCTTAAGAAGGAGTTTTCAAGAGCTCCTATGAGAAACCCTCGTGTCCACCTACCCATTCACCATTCCGGACTTTGTCGGAGAAGGCCTTGATCTTGTCCAGGACAGCCCAGACATCCTCCACCACGTTCTTGCCATCGCTGGTGATCACCTGTGGAAGAAAAAAATGAGTCACTTGCCGGATAGCATACAAAAGGAGGATATAGAAGAACTACTCATGACTTCACTTACCTACGATGAAAGAGGAGGAGACGATTGGTCAAAAACAATCTGATCACAGAATTCTTCAATTAGAGCGAGAAGATTCAGTGAATCTGCAAGTTGCTCTCGAAAGCTTCCCACCTTGTCACGAGGAGCTCTAAGCGCCACGTGCAGCACCGCTCTGTCTTCGGTTGTGTTGATCTGCATGGGGGGGCAGCGATGGAGTGAATCAAGGAGCTGCTTGTATTGGCATAATCAGCATGTGGGCAGGTACTTCTTGCCAATCAGTCATGTTCTAGGCTGGCAGATAGCATAACTAACGCATTTCAAACGCCTTGCAAAGAATCTCAGAAAGAAGTCAGGTGTCGAAGGGCCTGGTCAGGTGTTTCTTACATGCTCGCCCTTGAACATTTTGTCAATCTTCTCCTTCAGTTTGGCAGCCTGCATCAACAGTGAAGGTTCAGCGTCAGCAATCGAACCATTGGCATGGCCACGGATGATTTGAAGACAGTGGGAATCCTTTTGCTATGAGATCACCCATTGGCAGGATTTCATTGTCTAAATCCAGATGCAAGCCTGAAAGGAGGGCGGGGACTCACTTCTGCGAGCTTGAACAGCTTCTTCATGGTCTCCGTTGTAGCCTTCTGCCTGGAGTAGTCCAGAATGATGCCATCGTACTCCCTGCACAGAGTATCATGCTTCCTCAGCTGTGAGACTGAAGTTGGAAAGTCTGCTGAGAAACTCCGGCGACAACCTCTGAAAGGGTTTCACCTGGAGTGCTAGAGGTGAAGTGTTGGCCAAGCTTGAATTGCCAGAGGAAAAGTGCCAATGCATCCATGTGGCCGCATACCTTGTAGCCGCAAATGCCCTACAACAACCCCAGTCAGCAAAATTGCAACTTATCTTGCTGGTCGCACAATTCAAGCAACGAATAAAAGGAAAGCATTGACTAACTTGATCATGCCCTTGCAACGCTCTTCGTCCACGAGAAGATGCCGAAGGTCATGCTCCGCGTCGCTGATTTCAGCAACGTGCTTCTGCATTCATTAGTTGATTCGGAATGAGGAGTCACAGCCGAGCAAGCGATCAAGCAGCATCAATAGCCATCAAGTGTCCTTCATGAGAACCTCACCATGTCTGAACATTGTGTTCCGAGTTCACTGATGCAAGAATGAGACACAATATTTAGAGAGATTCTCTTTGCAAATACAATGCTGCCAGTGTTTACACCTCACCTTCAGGTCCTGCCACTCAGGAGCTTCTGAAATAAGCACAGGCTTGGTTTCAGCCATCCTTGGGGCTACAGCCGTTGCCTCAATGATGTTCCTTTTGGGATGTGAGAGATTCTTTCCTCGGTACCCAGTCGGCCGTGGGAAGGAGCCCACAGTCCTGCAAAAAAACCAGCAGCAACTCAGAGACTGCTGCATGCCCTTCTTTGGTGGATGCGATCCTACAGGTCTGCAATGCAGATGCTCAACCATGTCTTGCAAAGGGAAGATTACAATATGTGCAGACAGAACACTTTCCGGAACCACTTCTAGTTCTGTGGTTGAGTTGGCAAATGCAACCAGACATTGAATTGCATGCCAGTCTTCACAGATCTATGCTTCTGCGGGCCGGGCCTCGTTTGCAGACAATGCTCCCTCCTTGGTGTGAACCAGAAATGCAGCTCGAGCTCCAGAAAGGATGATGCACGACCAGTGACTACGCAAGGCTGGGCTATTCATAGAGGCAGCCAGCACTTCTCACTCACCCTAGAAAATGGGAGCAAAGTCTGGAAGATCGTAGATTTTGGTGGATTGTGTTCCGACAAAGCCCTCCAGGTGCGCTTGCTCTGTTTTGTTCATACGCAGCAGAAATAGTGCTGGCTACGATGGGCTGGTGCCCAATGCTCCCAATGACTTGACTCAGACAAGACATCTATGGAGAAGGCACGGACCCGCAGGTCCTTCGTAAAACAAGCTTGGGTTTGCCAACGTGCAGCCACCCTTGCTGTCGGGCTCGCAGGGAGTCCCACCTGCACTGGCAGGCTGCATGGCAACTTGCAAGTTGCATTGACTCGACGATATTCCATGGCGCATTGGAATTGTGTTTGCGAGACAATTCACACTGCCGGGACCGGCCGGTCGCCTCTACGGCGCGATAACCTATACGTATTTAATACACTCGTCCGTAATAGCGGAGCAATGAGTGCTGAACGACGGACCGGATGCAGGTAGTACCGATACCGTATGATAGCGACATACCTTTTCACCTGTTCACAACGGTACCGGTAGTTTGCTCGCTAGCGTTCACTACCGTACCCGTACCGATTGTCCGACTGGGCAACAATCACTAATTAGTAAGTATTCCTTGACTTGCCCAAAAAATCTGAATGTAAAACAAATTTCATTTCAAGAATTGCAACTCATTTTGCCCCACACGAAAACGAAATAAATTAGCAAAATGAAGCTGCCCAAATTTCACAGCATACGAATTCAATTTTGGGCAAATATCTGCCCAACCGGCCAATCGGTACGATAGATCGGTACCGCCCGGGCCCGGGGAACAGACTCAAACCAAAAACTTAAAGACGTAGTAGGTATGTAACTTCACTAGTTTCAACTGCAACGTCATCATAGTTAAGGACCTGCCAAACCTAAAACCCTAAGGTCAAACTGATAGCAGTAACCGGGTTTTGACGAACCCTAAGGCGTTCCGCCATAGCCCGCCCGTACCCACCCTAACCCCCCAACTAACCCCACCAAGATCAGTCGGTTGCCCTCTTGTAACCCTAACATCCCCCGAGCACTCCGTCTCCCTGCAATCGAGTGCCCGGTTGAACATTGCACGGTACCGACCATTTTCGACAGGGTAGCGTACCGCCACACTGTTCACCGTAGGTACCGATGATGTCATGCCTACGTTGCAGTTGAAACTAGTGAAATTACATACTCTACTGAACTTAAACTGGCAAGCCGCAAGATCACCTTTTAAAATCTGCCAGGTCTAAAATCCAATAAACTCACCCCTAAATTTGTGGAAACACGGATGTCGCCGATTCACCGCACCGAACCGTCCCGGGCCGCCTTGGGAGTGCACAGCGCCGCGCGCGGTGATTCCCGGCGGCCGGTGTGAAAATCGAAAGCAGGGAGCAGATAAAGCCCCACGGGCAGGACAAATGTCAGCCACCCATTTCCAGAGAGAGAGTCCGACTGCTTTGCCATTCGCCAGTTGGCCGGTCTGCTTTTGCGCCTGCAATGGCATCCGATGCTTCCTTCGAGTTGCCCCACCCTTGATTGTCTCATGAGAGTCATACAAGTACCCTCACGAGGAGAGCATAATTGCGAGTCGCGACTCAACGAAAGGTCATTGTGCTTTGCAGTGATCACATATCTTCGGCGATTGGTGCCTGCAGGTGCAAAACAGCTCCTCAGAGAGAGTAAGCTGCTATGTCTATCATACCCCCTTTTCCGTCGCTGATTACAATTGAGTAAGTCTACCACTTGACAAGACACTACTAGTTCCACCACGGGTATCTGGAACCAATCAAAATAGAAAAATGACCAACATCGTGGCGTTACATTGTTCCCAAAAGTTTGCCCTAGGCCATCTGGTGAGTAATCGTGAAATTGCTTGGAGAGAACATGGGGAAAGTGGGTCTTGTAGTCACTTTGCTGTGCCACTTGGCAGGTTGCAAGTACAGCGGCAAGAATATTCAAGCAGAATTGGAAGTGGCAGCCTGAAAGGCGAGAGAATGTTGTCGACAGGACAACGCAGGTTTGCAGTCAATTGCCTACTCTCGTTTGGCAACCCTACTAGCTCAGGGAAAGCTGAAGACGGAAGACTGGCGGGCGGGCAGTTTCATCAAGCTGGGTTTTTGCAGTCAGAAATAGTCGCATTTCAACAACAGGCTTACCAGACTAGCCCCGCTGGCTTTGATGCTGCCGAACTGCTCTGGCAGGTAAGAAATATAGGTTTGCCTGCACGCATGATGGCAAAGATTTTCCCAGTGATGTGAAGGCAGCATTAGGTGTATAAGTCCACTCAGTGATAGGTGTTTGTCCACTTCATGTTTCAGAAGTCTTGCATGAGTGCGAGCGTGTGGTTTACGTTCAGAATGTAACCCTTTTTGGGCTTTGCACCAGGTATGGCGTAAACACAACATCACACTCATGTTGGCTGGACAGGAAGCTGCGTTCCAGTCAAACCATGTTGAGGCCTTGCAGCAGGACATCTCAGAATTGAGGCAAACGGCTAGCTGGGAGGCCGCGCATGCGTTGTCGAGTGCAGTTAGCCCAGACTTTGACCTTGACGCGTCGATGGCAAGGCTTCGCTTAGATGCCCTTGGTGAAGAGATTGCAGGGGGCGGAAGAGGAAGTGCGGCGTCGCTCAGGCTGGTGTGTGTTGCATTGGCTGGAAGTTTTCTTGGCCAAGTTCTTAATGCTGATCGTGCACTTGGCGAAGCTGTGGCTAATGAGAGTGGCGCCACAGTGATGGAGGCCACGGGCCAGGTGGTTGCGCAGTCGGGCTCCGTACCCAGCTGGCTACAACCTGCAATTCTTGCAGCGCCGCTTCTCTTGTAAGTTAGTGCTGCTATCCATTGTCTCATTGAGATTGTATCTATGTTCCAAGTAGGGACTTTGGTTGAATAAGACACTGAGATTGACCACAACTCTTAATTGTCCGAGGCACGTGCTCAATTTTGCTAGCAATTTTGGAGGTGATCAAGCTTGAAGTGTTTCTTTTAATTGCTTTGCAGGTATGGTGGCTTCTACTGGTACAGAGAGAATGTGAGTTGCAAAGCGAAGAGCAGCAAGGGTTGTCTCTAGATGTTTCTCTGCTGACCTACTTGTGACAATCCAAAGCCTAATGATCCAATCTATGGCATCTTTCAAGCGGTATAAGTTGCTAAGTCTTGTTCTCTTGCAAGTATCTTCTCATAGCCGCACTCTCTGATCTCTTCTTCTCTTCTTCTGCCCAGGTCAACCAGCGGTTGTCTCCATTTGACTACGTGACCTTGCTCCTAGTCGTCTTGGCTGGTTCAAACTTGTTTCTCGCCGTCTTCTTCCAGGTAAGTAAAATCAGGATTGATGCATGTTTGATTCTGCTCTTTTCGTGGTATCCTTCTGTCCTACTTACCTTACCGTGATGGTTATGATGTAGACACAAAGAGTAATCTGGGATACCCATCTTATTGCAGATTCGACTGTTCTGAGTACCCAACGACTCAAGCTCGTAATCAGTGCTGTAAACTTCTTATTTCTTGGACAAGTAATCAACCGAATGTAACCTAGATAGCCAACTGGAAGAGGTTCGCAGGTTCTTGTGAACATGTGTTCGATGGAGTTGGGTATACCAACAAAGAGCCCGTAGTATTCTGCAACTGCGTTACATTTGTTTGTTAATTCAAAATTTGCTTGCCAAAGGCCTGGCTGTCGTTCTGCATCGGAAGGCTGGAGTGCCCGTCAAACAATATATGTGTGTACATTATCCTAGCTTGACGGATCTAATTTTCGAAATCATCAATGATCAAATCCATTCTTATTGAAAGCAAGCATGTCACCAACAGTCTTGCAGGGTAGCATGCCGGAATATGCTTGACTACCGTACAACCGTTGAACTTCAAATCGATTTGCATGCGGTCTCTAAAATTCAAGCTTTTTGTGAAATGGAGCGTATCTTTATTTTTGTTGTGGAGTTTCAATAACCTTGGGATTTGGAGGTGGCATACAGCGTAGCTTTAGGATACGCTCATGAGGTGCAAGATGACGGGTCGCATGGGCCGTGCACTACGCGGAACTCTTTAAGTCATTAGCGGCATGCACTGCAATCACTGAGCGCACTACCGTAGTACACTACTGTATTGCACCATCACGGCAGGCTCACGGCCGTCTTCGTTTGCACGAAACCGGATCCTTTTGGCGTATGTCGCAATGCATGCAGCTAGCTAGCGCTAAACTTCGATAGGGGGTTTGAAGTTTCAAGTACTTGGCCCGGCAACATGGCGGTCCAAAAAGAATCATCCGATCGTGTACATGCATGCAGACGGCCATGGCGGCTGGCCGGATTGAACATGATGGCGTGCAGTATGCCTTGCTCAGTATCGAATGAATACACGTACAAGGTGACGGTTGTCAAGCATGCAACATCGAGCGCCTCGTGTATAGCATGATGCATGCAGACGGGACCCTATATAAAATCATAAAACCAGGTAAGTTTATTGAAAGCGGGTTAGAGAGCTAGATAATTACCCTAGAAACCAGATACCCGTTGTTTTAGGTTTCTGGACTCACGGGCTCCGGACAATGGCGGCCGCAGTGCACGCTATATAGATTAGCTATAGATATAAATTTCGTTAACGATCGTTTCAATGATACATCATGCACTCAACTTCGGAAGCAATCATTGATGCATGCTAGCTTCCATAGTCGACGGTACGTATCCGTATATATAGCACCGGATCCATACATAGTACATCATATATATCCAATTTGCCGCCATGGCGGCCAATTCCAATGGCCTAGACGGATATACTTAACTTTTATAATCATCGGTCGATATACAGCTCTAGGTATATATTTCGATCAAGCTATAACTTTCATCGATCAATGCAGCGCTGAGGGCCGCGCAAAGCCACATGATCGAGCTAGCTTCCGAGACGCTAATGACCCGTCAGTGGGCCGCCGGCGCTAAGTACCTCAATGTTGCAAAAATTAAATGTAGAGCGCGTTTGTATACAATTTGATTATAGCTTGAAGCCCAAGCTAGTGCATATTACGCTCACGTACATGCATCAGTGTGCGCACATGATGATTATAGCTTGACCGCCACTAATTGTCGAGCTTCTTTCAGCTGGTCGAAGGTACTATACCAAGTGTATTAGCCTAGGCCGCGCCCCGGCAGCTGAGAATAGGATGTGGGACTATGCTTGGACACCGGGAAGGAAGAAGTCACGAGATGCACATTAAAAGTGATGTTATATTCAAACCATAGCCAAGTACGTTGATAGGCACAATCCTTTAGGCGGCATGCAATTAGCCTAACCAATACCTCACCCTCAAATTGATACCGATCCAAAAGGCGTTTTGCAGGGCTCCATGCCAGGGTCAGCATGCTCGTAAGGATTTGAAAAAGGTCTGACTCGATCCCACCAGACGCCAAATACTTGATTGTAAGCACCAATTAGGCGGACTAAAAATCATCTCCTCGTGACAAAACTTCTTTGCAAGTTGGCCTTAAGTAAATTGTATGCTCAAATTGGGCGACATAGCTCCCCTTGCTATCACATAAAGGCGGGTACTCCTGCAGAGGACGGCACATAATGTTAGTAGGCAACTACATCGTGGATGGCAACTGTTGCGCACTGGTTTTCGAAGTACGTCATGCCTCCGACCAATCTACATGTGCCTGCTCTCTGTGCCTGCTCTCTTTGGAAACAACCCTCAGGAGTAGGCAGCCAACAACTGGGAAGTAGGGCACGCCCATGGTGGCTGCCGCCAGACTCACCGCAACAACGCCGTTGTCGACAAGATTCTTGAGCGCCATCAGGTACTTGGTCTCTCCGAGACGGTCCAGGTACCGCCGGCAGAACGCTAGCGTCCCAAAGTTGCGGTCAATGGTCGCCAACAGCTGCTTCGCGCGAGGCAACCTGCATGGAAGACAGGACAAGCAGTGAGATGCGGTCTGCGCTTGCCGACACCCGTGCAACATGACATAAGACACCTGGACAGCTGACGTTCTGGCGAACCGTAGGGGCATGGGTCAACAGCTAAAAGCCTTCAGCTGCGCTCATCAGGACCTTTGTGTTCCACCTGAAACAGGCGAAGGGCAAGAAGACTGCATGTGGCAGCCGCTTCCATGGTAGTCCTCAGGTAGGCCACACCAGTGACAGGCTACATATCTGATTTCTGCCTCACTTCCCAATGCTTTCTTATCATGGCATAGCCTTGCAGCACGATTCTCTCCGCTCGTCCCCTGTATCGAGTCAATGCAAGCAAAATGGATTGGACAAGCGGGAAAACACGGGTCACCCCCACCAGAGCTTTCCAAGGATCAGAGCACGAGCAAGATGCGCACCGAAGGGGCACGTAGGTGACGTCGAAGTTCTTCATGTAGTGGCTGCACTCCAGGTCTTCGCGCACGTAGCCTTTGCCCGTGGATCCGAATGTCTCGATGGCAAAGAATTCGCCTTCCTCCATCTTGGTCTGCTCGCCGCCCTTCACAATGGGCACACTCTTCCCCGCATGGATTTGGTAAGGCGCAATGCTGTGCCCATTCAGATTGCGAATGCTCTTCACTGCAACCAGCATACAAGGGAGATCTGAGTGCCTGTGCAGACATGCTGAGCCTCGAAACCAGTCAGATGCAAGCCAATATGCGCAGAATCATGATACAGAAAATATCGGGAGAGAGGACCTATGCTGTTCACTGTCGAATCTTGGAAAGTTGAAAATCTATGCCGCATAGCATTTTCCTCATACACAGGTCGAGGTCCTAGATGGCAAAGAGCAGAGCTGCATATGTGCACCTCATACCCGGCTGGAGTTTGCTGCTTGGGAAACTGCGGCACAGCGTCCCCCAAGCAGCATACTGTTTTGACAGCAGTGACGGTGAGTCCTCACCTTGGAAGGTCTTGCCCCCGATCTCCACCTCGTACGACTCCATCACCTCCTGGATGGCTGCGCCCACATCGCAGAGCCGCACGTCAATGCCACTCTCCTGCACACCCATCAATTGCGAGCCCGCATCAGCAGGCACTCCAATTTAAAATCCCACGTCCAGGGCTTCCAGGCAAAGTGCCAATGCCCTAATAATAGAACCACCTCGCAACATTCTGCAATGTCCATTATCTATATCTGGCTGCCAAGAGCCGGAGCTCGTTAAGCCTCTAGCTTTCTCAGAAGGACACCCAAATCATTCGATTGAGAATCTGCAGGCACCCGAAGTGATGATAGCGGCATGCCCTGAACATCATTGTCCAACTCAGGCATGCATAACCTGAGCACTACCCTGTTGTATGAAACCTCAGAGCAAGAAAGCTGGTAATCTGCACAAGCGAGCCAACCCCAAAAGATAGAGCATCAGTGCCCCGCGGCGCACTGACCTTGATTCCGGTGTCAGTGGCCTCTCTGACGGCGCGCAGCAGCGGGTCGTACACCGGGTTGAACGCTACCGTGAACGCGCAGTCGACGATACGCCCCTCGATGTGCGTGCCAAAGTCGATCTTCATCACATCGTCGTACTGCAGCACTGTCTTGTCCCCTCCGTTGGGCGTCCAGTGCGCGGCCACATGGTTGAGGCTGCACCCTGTGGGGAACGCAATCCCTGCGTGCAGCCCGTTGGCCTGGATCAGCTTGCGCACGCAGTCCTCCAGCGTCTCGGCCATGGTCGCAATGTGCACCCCCGGCTTGGCGATGGTCCGCACGTACTTCCGCACCTGCAGATCACACGCATGGCCCGACTGAGCCTGAGGCCACAAAATGGGGTGCCCCAGCTGGAGTAGTACAACCCAGCAACTACTGTCTAGGTATATATGCCCTCACATTAGGCCAGTGTTTGACGAGCAAAACCCTTCAATTTGTGGTGAGGTGGCCACTCAGTCAAATCAGCGATGCAAAGCACGGATACCACATTTGTTCCTCTTCCATGCAAGATCAGCCAACGTTGCTCTCGGAGCTGGTGCCCTGGCGCTGTGTGCACCACTCCCTCTGTGAGTGGCCTCACCTGACGGTGCACTTCGGCAGCGCGACGCACGTCGTCATAGAGCGGCTTCTCTAAGCGCTCCTGCTCGCGCATCTCTGCGCTGGTTTTGCGCCACAGGTTGTCGTCCTTGTAGTCCTGGAGCTCCCCCGGTGGGAACTCCCCGTCTGGAAACAAGTCCGCCATCGGGATGCTGGGGGGGTCAGTCTGCTCCAGGCTGCCTCCTTTCTTCTTACTGCACGTGCGAAACGCACCTAATGATCGTACTTGGAAGAATGTACTTTTAAGCTGGAAAGCAGCAATTTTGCAATACGAAAAAATGCATCAGAAAGGCGCCCCATGCGCTCAAGCCCCATGGTGGAACCTGCGGGCCCAGCCTAACCGGAAGTTTCAGATCTGGTATGCACTCTGCTGCAATGAGCAAAGAAACGCTCAACTTACCCGCTTTTCTTCTTTTTCTTTTTCTTCTTGGCACCACCATCTGCACCCAGAATAACATTGTGGGGATCATTCAGCAGCATTCCTCTGGTTTCAGACCACTCATCTCCCAGCCTGTTCGCACCCTCGCAGCAATCCTACCATAACCAGGAGCGCAAGAACTTTATAATACGCACTCCGCTTTTTATGCAGCACACAGGCCTGCCCACCTGCTGCTTCACCGCCAGCCTCCTCCCCCTCGTCTGCATTGTCTCCAGCCTCCTGCCCCTGTTCTGCGCTTGGGTTCGTTTCTGCAGAGGCTCCGTCTTTTCCCGGCAGCTGCCCTGAGTTGGCCCCCTCATAATGATCGTTCGCCCCCGCCGGGCCTGCATCTTCAGGCCCTCCTTCTACAGAAGCCTTCTTCTTCTTCTTCTTGCGCTTCTTTTTAGCTGCAGCAGACTCCTGCAGCAAACGGTGGAACTCATTTCTTTTTATGAAAAGTTGTCAAGAGATACTTTTGATGTCGACCTGGCTTGCTCAAGAGTAGCGCAGCAGCAAGCTTAACATGCCTTCCAACACGCCAAGATGCTCTGTGGAAAGACACCATAAATGAAAAGTTCTCTTTTATGCGTCAAATTACAATCCATGCTCAAGTACTCCAAACCAATACCAGGATTTGGAAAACGAGATAGAAGGGTTGGAAACAGATGATGTATTCTCCATGTTTACCAAAGCACAGTCTCGAGTGAAACCCACAGAATCTTCAACATCTTCTCTCTATGAACAGCAGATGTGTCAATGATGCAGGCACCCGCCAGCCTCCATCCACTTCCAATGTTCCTTTCTCATAGATTGACAGGATCACAATACAATAATATAATCCTTTCTTCCCCCCCCATCATTCTGTGAACCGAAACCTCACTCCAACTTGCTGATAGTCCGAAGCAGCTTAGTACGGTATCCGCAAACTAGCCATGCATCGTTTAGGCATTTGATGTAACGCCTCACTGATCCATTTTGTATGCTTCCTTCTTCTTGCATGGTTAGTTCTTCGACTCCTTCCTCCAGCTCGTCCTTTTCGGCAGCCATGGTAGGGTCTGCAGGCATCATGGTGGCCCGCTGAACAAAGAACTTGCCGTCTCGACCTCAATGCAAATTTTATGCAATGCAACCTGCACTGGCAATGGCAATGCTTCTTTAGTTGAACCTCGAATGTTCAATCTTTTGATTCTCTTTATCCAAGTTCTAGCTATACACTGACGGTTGCGCAATGCCGCCGCTTTGTTTCATGCTCTCGAGGCCGGGGGTGCTTGCCCGGTACGGTGGAAATGGGTAATCATGGTCCACTTCCAGGTAGCTGTTCCGAAGCCCCGGGCTGAAGAAGATGACCGGCAGGTTCACCGAGAATTCCGGTAGCCGATGTCCAC